TGCCAGCTTTTCTATTCTCGCCATCGTGGATGGCGATCGTGCCGTGATGAAAATCACAGTAGGATCGCACTGTAAGTCCGGGTGGGTCGCAGTCGCACGAGTGTATGCTCGTGACGGATGCTAGCTCGGAACTGCGGGGGGAGATCAGTTAACTGGATGAGCGTGCGGTTTTATAGACCATCGGCGGACTGAGGACTGAGTTGTCTGTTGGCGGGTACTCTGGGCCTCTTGCGTGACGTGGCTTTTGCGCTGTGTTTTTTAGAATTGGTAACCACGTTTTGTTTAAAGCAAGGCCTTCTTCTTTTCTATTGAAATTATCATTGTGTTTGTAGATTTCAATTGCTTCTCTGTATATTCGGGCTGAGTAGTGGGTGGATGCTGATAGGACTTCAGTTTGGTCGAACAGAACATTGTGGCCGTCTTGGAGTGCGTGTTCGTCCACCACTGATTTATCAGTTTGTTCCAGTCGACAGTTTCTTTCATGCTCCTTGATGCATGTTTGGAAGCTACGTTCAGTGGTGCCTACGTACACTTTACCACAGGAACACGGTATTCTGTATACGCCGGCACCGCTTAGGGGGTCCTTTACTGAAGTTAGGAGTTGCTGGATTTTATTTGTCGGCTTGTAGATGGTCTTAACGTTGTGTTTCTGCAGTAACCTTCCTATCCTATCCGTGATGCCTTTAATGTATGGTAGGAAGGAGACTCCCGCAGGTGGTTCCTTGTCTCCTGCCGGCGGTCTGCTTTTGTGTCGTTAAATCTGTTCTATTTGTTCGCTGCGATAGCCGTTTGCTTGTAAAACCATGTTAACATAATCCAGTTCCCCCTGCAGGTATTGAGGTTCACAAATTCGATGTGCCCTGTCTATCATATTTTTAATGACCACTCTTTTTTGCTCAGGATGATGGTTGGAGTCCTTGTGTAGATATGTGTCAGTGTTTGTTGTTTTGCGGTAAACCCTGTGACCCAGCTTTAAGTTCTCTCGTCTGACCACCAATACGTCCAGGAATGCCAGTTGATTGTCTTCTTCTATCTCCATTGTGAATTTGATTTTGGGGTGAATGCTGTTTAGGAACACTGCTAGTTCCGTTCTTCCGTGATTCCATACTACGAAGGTATCATCCACATACCGTAGCCAACAACTGGGGCGATTGGGAGCGGTGTTCAGTGCTGCTTCCTCGAACCTTTCCATGTAGAAATTGGCCATTACCGGGCTTAGCGGACTGGCTGTGATCTATTTGAGGCTGGAGCATGTTCCTTAGATGTTTCGCTAGTTGATAAGTAGGTGATCCGATCGCACTGACAATAGGTCTAAGGGGGACAGATGGCTTGTGAATTTTTAGTAGACCGTACAATCTGGGTGGATGGGCTTCTGATTTACATAGCGATTTTTGCCCTTTCTTGCAGTAGGAGTTCTTGAAGAAGTAACAGTCCACACTCTTTCCAGGAGGCAACCGTCTAGGACTATGAGAACATACCAGAAATCGAATTCCTGTATACCTGAAGACTACCTCAATCATGCTTCGGATGATTCTCCAGTCCAGATTGTCCAGGCAACATGCCAGTTAGCTTTCTCAGGTCCTCGGCAAGCAGCACTCCTCTAAGAGAAACAAAGCGTTCCAGACATCCCCGTAATTCGCTTTCTGACACGAAGCTTTCTTGGTAAACAGATAGGTTGGTACCCTCTCCAGTTATCTGGAGTACTTCTCCGACTTCCGGATTAGATTGTCGCAGCTCGTGCATTCTTCTAAACTTCCTGAGAAAGACTTTTGCTATACCACTCGACATTTGCGAGTCTTGAGCCACATAGTGTACCAGGGCATACTCTGGTAAAGTGGTAAACAGATCTTGCTGTACTTCGCATGTCACGCCGTACAGACTTTTATGGCCATTAGCCATGTTGGGCCATAAATTAGTCAAATGTCATGTTCAGCCCTTTTTCCCTCTTTGGGTCGTAAAGCCTAACCGTATCACCGTTGTCATATCTCTGGTCTTTTTCATTAATGTCATAAGCTTCCTTCATCTAGTCGCTGGCAATTGAAACACGAACCTGGCTATGGACGGCGTCCATCCTACGCTCACTTACGTAGTCTTCTCCGGCAATATAACTTCCTGGTGGACAGCCAAACTTTAGATGGCATGGGAGACGAAGTTCTCTTCCCATAAATATTCGAGCCGGGATCTCTCCTGTGCTTCCATGAATCGAGGATCGGTAAGCCAATAAGAGGAGGTGTAGAAAACTATCCCAGTCTCTTTGATGGCTAGAGACTACCTTATCCAAATATCGGCTAATGGTCCTATTCATGCGCTCCACCATTCCATCTGACTGCGGGTGTAAGACGGCAGTCCTTGTCTTCTTAATGCCAAGGATTTGACAGATATTTTGGAACAGATTTGACTCGAAATTGCGCCCTTGGTCCGAATGTAACTCCAAAGGTACACCAAATCGACAGATCCATTCCATTATTAAAGCGTCGGCTACCGTAGAGGCTTCCTGATTTGGCAGAGCGTATGCCTCAACCCACTTGCTGAAGTAATCCATTACCGCAATGATGTATTTATTCCCTGCTTCACTTTCTGGAAAGGGCCCCGCTACATCAATAGCAATCCTTTCAAAGGGGCTCCCCACGTTGTATTAGCGCATCGAAACTTTTGGTTTCCTTTGCGGTCCATTACTTGCCTTACACACAACGCATTTTCTGCACCAGTCGTTTACGTCCTCCTTGCTATTAACCCAGTAAAATATTTCACTCACTTTTCCCAGGGTTTTTGTAACTCCGAGATAACCTAATGACACACCGGAATGGATTTCTTCTAGCAGCTTCGGGATCCGACATCTGGAGATAACGATTTGCTTCTTTCTTCTTTGCAGTAAGAGTCCGTCGTCCATAACTAGAGAATTCCAATGTGCCCAATATGATTTTAGGGGTAGGGGAATACTTGGCAACTTCTTCCCAGGCTGGTTTCCGTTGTTCTTTCATCCAGTTCAGAATTATTTGGAGATCGGGGTCGCCCTCTTGGTTTTTAATGAGGTCTTCATTTTGCCAAGTATCACTAACGATAGTGGTTCTTAATACTCGGACATCTTTCTCCTCTGCCCACTGGCAATGCTTACCATCCTCCAAACAGCGTCTCCTAACGTGCCCTATTTTGCCACATTTCCAACATTCCTACTTGCTGTGCTGAGGGCGACGTTCACCATCAAGCTCCTTAACAATGCGCTTGACGGACTCTTCGACCTCGTTATCTCCTGGTACCATTTGGCGGACTCGGACCTGACTTTTATTTGTGTTTTTAGCGGCTTAGAGTTCTAAGGCCCAAGTTGGCGCATCTACTAGCTTAGGTGGATGTGCTAGTAGTAAGGCTTGCCTCATTTCGCCATCACGAACCCCATCCAGGAATGTTTGAACTGCTAATCGCTCCACTATCCTTTCCTGACCATCGGGATATACTAGTCGTACCAACCGCGCAATATCTGCTTCGAACTCCTGCAAGGACTCGCCTGACTTCTGGAACCGATTCTTTAGTTGAGTATGGTAGTCATGTTCTAAGTGTGACTGACCATATCGCATCTCCAAATGTCCTACTAGTTGTTCGAAGACCTCTTGATCTTCGGGTGATATTCTTGGAATAATAGCTGCAGGGCCAAAGTGAGTGCAGTTGCCTTTTCGGTCGATGACCAACCATTTGCATTTGCGGCTACCTGAAACTGACGCCGGTAGACATTCCGTCAAATTGCGGCGGTTTCATTCGCAGATGACCAGCTGACCCAACAGAAGCTCCAACCTCACCTGATTTTTCCAACAGAAGTCCACGCTGTCGTTCGTCGATGATCTTACGTCTGAAGCGGCAAACTTGCCTTGCGCTTCTTAAACTCGGTCTTCCAAAGTTTCTAAAATCCGATTTTCCACCTTGCAAGATTTTCCATAATTTTATCTTCCAATTCTTTTTTTAAATTGGCAGTATTTTTCAAAAACTTCTCTTCTAATTTGGCCGTACTTTCGTGTAACTCCAAGAGTTTACCTTCTAGGTTGGCACAATTTTTCACGAACCTATTTTCTAACTTGGTATTAAACGGTATTAACAAATTCGTAAACCATGTGTAAAACCATATATTATTAGATACATGTTTACTATCCGTATTTGGGAACAAAAAACAGCATTTCTATGTTTGAGATCAGAATTACGTCCCCTGGTGGCCACTTGAGGAAGGTGAAAATAGAGATTTTTCAGTGCAACAAAAATAACGAATGGTTCAGCCGCACGTTAGATTATGCTTAACAGCTGAAGCAAATTTTCATCGCGTAAGTACGTTGTACATGAGTGTTACAAAAATCGTTTATTTAAGAACTTAAATGATGGACTAAAATCTTGAGGGTTACTGATACGATTCAGATATACCCTGTGAGTGAAACTTTAAGAACTCCACCAAAATCCATTAAGAGTTGCAGAAATAAGTCAACATATGTACTCGTACGAGTATATTAATCACCTTTGTACAGCTTAATTGGAAGACTTGCCCTCACTCAAATCGCACTGTGAGTAACTAAAATACTTAGAATGTAGTTTTGATAAGACAAACAGCTGTTGCATGAAATCAATAAAACCTTCTATGTAGGTACATCAAACATAAGGATCATTATCCCATAAGGAAATAAAAGCAAACGCTATGCAAAACATTCGAAAAATTCATAAGAATTATGGTATGGGTGAGTAGAGGCAAATACCAACGAACGAAATATAAAGTTTGTTGGAAAAGGTGTCGAACCAAATAGGCGATGTTCAAAATGAATTTCAAGAGATAAAAAAACCCAAGTAATCAGGGAAAATATATAGAGCAATTAAATGTCAAAGTGAGTGCTATACAAGAAGAAAATAAGAGGCTGAAGGAAAAATTCTACAGACTAAAAAAGACTTTGGAGAAACCTAATCTTGTTTTCTTTGACGTCCTAGAAAAATAAAATGAAATACCATCTTTCAAAATACAAAATATAGTGAAGGAAGTGTTGTCGATAAAATTGACAACTTTGGATATTAGCGATGCGTTTGGCAAAAAACAAATAAATAAGAGATGGCAAATTGTTAAAGAATTAGTGACATTCTCTGTTAACAAAGACATTTTAAACAATGCGTTCAAACTTAACGGATCCGGTATAGCCTTAGCGCATGATTTAGCACCGCAAGAACAGGAGATACAAAAATACCTATACAATCATGTGAAATCAGTCAAAGGAAAACATCGTGATACAAAAATCCGTAATAATAAACTAATTGTTGAAGAATTAAAAAAACAGGAAGACGTTGCAGAAAAATCGAAAGAAGGTGTGAACGCTGCCAGCTCGGAAATATCAAAATTCCGAAAAAAGAAAGCCAGGCGCGGAGGAAGAAACGCTGGTAGAATATGTTTCTTCAACCAGTATCCCGGTCACAAACACAACCAGATGCCATCTCTAGCAGTGGGACCCGCTACAAGATCATCATCAGCTGCTAAAACCAAAGCAGACGTCTCTGAGAAGAGCACCCCACCATCAAAGAAAAATAATCGAAGATGTAGGCTGTGATTTTTTTTATTCTGTTTTCCTTGTGAAAATATTTTATCGTTTTTTTACATGACTTTTGATTAGTATATGTGACGGTATATGTATGATTATTCGATCTAACCATGAATGAGCGCCTAACTCGAATATAATTTGCTTGTACTTATCGACTATCCTATTTTAGCTACTATAAATATGAACACATTATGTATTGTCCTTTTTTTAAATGTAAGAAGTCTTTGTCATGTCTAACATGGTAATAAATGATTTTGTACAAAACTTTGAGCCTAAATTTATACACGATAATGAAAGATATATCTGAAATTGATAGTACTCGTATAATTTCTAATGAAAAAGGATATCTTAAGCTTATTTCATGTCAGGATTAGGAGTATCTGTAAAAATCTAGCCAGTTTGAAACCACATTTGGAGGAAAGAAAACATGAATTTGACATAATTATATTATCAGAAACATGACTAGTTGAAGATGCATCTCTGTTTGGCATTGACGGCAACGCTAACTCTTATGATGAAGGTAGTATCAACAAGAATGATCTTTTACTTAAATTTACCAAAAGAGAACTACACTGTCGCGATAGCATTATAACACTTGATAATAATTTTAAACTTTTAGATATAAATTTGATCATATCAACTTATCAAGCAAATATGTTAGCATGCTGAGTAGTCATGGATTTCTATCTTATATCAATCATTTCACTAGAGTACATGGTCAAGCTAATTCCGGTATAGAGCACATCTTTGTTCAAGATTCATTACCAACTTACAACTACATTCCAGCTGTCATCCACCCTGATATAACCAATCATTTCCCAATGCTAATTCAATTAGACACTCAAAAAAGCAACATGATGGCCATAACACGCCATATAAAGTATATACCGATAGAAATACATTATTCAACAATGCCAGAGCCAAAAGTTGTCTGAGTGTCTATGTTGCAGATACACGATAGATGACGCGGCCGAAAGATTAGTGGAAACTGTTAAAAATATTGTAGATAGAAATGGTCAGAATTAAAAGCAGATTCAAAAAAAGAACACCATGGATCACAAGAGGATTAACCAATTTCGTAGAGGAAAGAAACACAAAGCTCAAAAATAACCCAACCGAAAAGAAAACACAAACTACAACTACAGAAACAAGGTTGGAGTTTTAATAGATGCGGAGAAGAGAAACTACCACCAAAATAGCTGGAAAATAATAGATCTAATCCAACTAAGTTGTAGAGGTCCCTGGACAAATTGACAGGAAGTAACAATCAAACCGGAATACATGGCATAAAACTAGTTGACAACAATAAAAGCTCTGATAGAAAAATTATGGCCAATATATTTGCCGATTATTATGCACATGTAGGTGAGACTCTCGCAGATAAGCTAATTAAAGATACAGATACTAATACAAATTTCCCACAGCACTCTTAACAAAACTCATTCTTTATGATACAGATGATGAAGAAATAATCGAAGCAATACATTTATTAAAAAACAAAAAGTCCCTGGGTTTGAACACAATCCAGCCTCAGCACCTTGAAATCATATCATCTGTAGTAGCCCCACCTTTAAAATATATTTATCGTTAATATCTTCGTTAGCTAAACTTTTAGAAAAGATTGTGAAAAAACGTATGATAGCTTACTTATATAAAAATAATATCTAATAAACAATTTGGATTCAGACAAGGGGAGTTAACAGATGATGCGATACTTGATCTTATGACTAAGGTTTCTAGTAATATAAAATCCAAGGAATCAACTCTATGTATCTTTGCCGACCTGAAGGAGGCATTCGATATAGTTAGTCACAACCAACTCCTCGGGGCTTTAGAAAGAGTAGGCTTTCGTTTCACTGCATACTCATTAATAAAATCCTACCTATCAAATAGAATAAACTATGTGAAGCTAATTATACTATGAGTGATGGTAGAACAGTTGAGTTTGGAGTACCACAAGGACTGTATTGGCACCGATATTATTTAACATCTACGTTAACGAACTATATTTACGAGAACTTCGAGAAAAAAGTTTTGCTGATGACACGGCCATCATATACAGTTCTCAAACCTGGGAAAATATAAGAACTCTAACAGAAACAGAATTTTGCAGGATTATGAAATAGTTAAAATCTAGACTTTTAACCGTAAATTACACAAAACTTGTTACATCCCATTTCCATCCTGTGAACGAAATATGCCCAAATATTCAACTTTATACATACGGCTGAAAAATAACCAAAATGAACAATTACAAATAACATATTCGCGCAGTGTTAAATATATAGGAGTATACCTAGATTCCTCCCTTAAATGGCCAAACACACACATGCATTTCCTTATTAAAAGGCAGCGTGTAAAGGTAATATACAGGGTTGAGTTGAAGTTGAGTCATTAATTTTCAGATAATGATTGTAGAAGGAAGATAAACCAAAATATGTGTGTAAAAATAAAAAAAAAATAAAAAAAAATGTTACCTTGTTTAATAAAGTATCCTCCCGACAAGTATTTCAGTGCGGACCTGTATTTGATCGTGCGGTCTTGGAGCAGCATGCCCTCACCTGTGAGGTCTTAAGTCACCTGATTCACGAGCCCTTTGTACTACATTAACAAAGGCACGAGGGGTTGATTGCACTCGATTGGGAAACCGATTCGCATAAATCCGCGATGCATCCGGCAGCATTTTGAAAAGACTGCCCCCCCGTAAATAAGTATCATGTCCACAAGTTCAGCATTTTCGTAAACATGTGCCATTTTTGATTTCGTTTGAGCCACGCAACAGACACCACTATTCACTCACGCGTTACCGACTGACGAAAAACATCGTGATAAACGTTTAAAATTCTTTCGCTTTTTTGTTTCTGATGCGATGAACCGGTCAGGCGGATTATATCCGTTGTCGCCAAACACGAGCATATAATATTATTATTGAGACAGGGCGGTACTCAAACTTCCAAAGGGCTATAACTTTGTTACTTTAATTTTACAAGAAAAATGGTAAAGGAAAAAAACATTTCTTTTGATCAGATCTACTCACTGTTAAAATAAATGACTCAACTTCGAAGTCACCCTGTATAATAAGAAAAGAACATACCCAATAGAACAATATTATAAACCGGAATTGCAGTGCATGATATTCGACAACTATACTTCATCCAAACCATCATGAAGCAGCACCAACTAAAACATAAGCTACGCCAAACTGAGCACGACTATGATACCCGGCATAAAGTAAGAGCATGCTTTCCAAAGCCTAATATCAATACCATGCAGAGGTCATTCCAAAACTTAGGACCGAAGCTTTATAATAATTTGCCTATTACTTTAAAACAGAATAGCTATATGAAGTTTAAAAAATAACTAAAAAAGTGGATAAAGGAAATAACTCGCCTCCATATATATTAGCTAATTCTTTCAAATATTATATAAAAACATTTAAAACCTTTTTTTTCAAACTGTCAAGGAATTCTTTTAAAAGTTCCTAATATACTAAGTGACATATAAATCCGAACACCCAGTTTAAATGGTTTTATTTTAATAAAAGTTGGTGAATGTATTTATCTTACTATAAATAACAAGTGAAAAATTTTTCAGCCTTATCAGTTGGACATTCCGGTTTTTATACTGCTTTTTTTTAATTCACTAACGCTCTAAAAATGAATATTTCAGCCGCAGTAAAGAATCAACGTTGGCGGATTTTGGTTCTTGACATCCTTTACGATCGGTTACGATGCCTAGAGTACGGAGACCTGTACGATTTCGTCAACTTAGTGAGTTTGATAGGGGCCGTATAGTGGGACTTCGGGAAGCTGGACTTTCTTTTCGGGCAATTGCAGTAGAGTGCAAAGAAGTGTAGACACTGTGGTTAGGTGTTGTCAGGCATGCCTTCGAGAAGGCCGTACGCAAAGAGCAAGGGTCACTGGACGCCGCCGTAGAACAACAGACCGTGAAGATCGCCGCCTAAGATTATTGGCCTTAAGGGACCGTTTCTCCACTACCAGGTCCATTGCAAATGAATGGTTTGCAGAACACGGAAGACCTATTGGCATGCGAAGTGTTTACCGACGAATGAGAAGTTTTGGCTTGTTTTCATACCGGCCACACTGGGTCCTCCCTTTAACTCGAGAACACCGACGTAATTGCCTTGAGTGGTGCAGACAACGGTCACTCTGGCATCAGGAATGGAACAGTATTGTCTTTAGTGACGAGTCTCGATTTTGTTTAGGCATGCACGATGGTCGTGCCAGGGTTAGAAGGCGACGTGGTGAAAGAAGGAATCCACAGTTTTTTGTTGAAAGACATATTCATCACACTGTTGGAGTTATGGTTTGGGGTGCTATAGCTTATGGTTCCAGGTCACCTTGAATCTTCATCAGACGTAACATGAACGCGCAGAGTTATATCCACGAAGTTCTAGAACCCCATCTTTTACCCTATCTTGACACCCTGGCAGATCCAACTTTCCAACAAGATAATGCCCGACCACGTGTTGCAAGAGTCACAATAGACTTCTTTCAACATAATGATGTCACATTGTTACCATGGCCACCAAGATCTCCCGACTTATCCCCATTTGAGCACGTGTGGGATATGATGGGTAGGAGATTGCTCAATTTTCAACGTCTTCCTCAGATTCTAGAAGCACTTCGAGAGGAGTTGGTGGTTGCCTGGAATGAGATACCACAGGAGGACATTGACCACCTGATCAGAAGCATGCCTAGGCGCGTTGGAGAATGCATAGCACATCAGGGTGCATCCACACATTATTAAAGGTCAAAGGGCTTTAAAGCAGTGCAATCATTTTGAAATTTTTATCATTTACTTATTATGCTTCATTAAGTACTTATACAAAATTTTATTAAAATAAAACCATTTAAACTGGGTGTTCGGATTTATATGTCACTTAGTATATATAAGATTAAACATATCTAAGCATACAGCTTAAAGCAAAGGAACTTTTCACTTTCCTAACATGCCATTCTTAGATTCGTCGCACACCCGATTATGACTATTGTACCGATGATGACAATCATTGTCAGTATAATTATTATAATGATATAGACTGAATACTGGATAGACATTTCACGCCTTCTGTTTTTGACAATCATGACAGGTTTTTTATTTTGATGTGAAGCTGAGCTCAACATTTCAAAGGCTTGTGAAAAATTTTAATGGAAAAGTTTTGGTAATATTTGTTTATGATTGCTCCAAACTGGTCCAGAATTAAATAGGTCTGGAATCATAAAACCACAGAACGACAAGCGACCACAAAAACAACAGAACTCAAATAAAAAGCTACCTCGCCAAATTGCTTAGAAGACAAAAATCAGGAAAATCTAGTTTATCTAGAACCTGCCTATTTCTTGCATTTACTTTTATCTGTGATCTAGAATTCATATTTATATTATATTTTAACCAATATGCTTTGATAACATGTGGTTATTTTAATTAAGATTCCCAGCTGACTAATTGCGGCAATAGCTCTGTATATAAGGAAAAAACTACCTTACGAAGCACGTTGTTTCCAATTCTCCGCAACTAACTGAGCTTCTTATTCTGATATCGAAGAACCAAAGATTTTTTCGTGTGCAAAATCGAATTAAAAAATATTATAACGAACGAGCAAAGCAAGAGCACTAAAAATTTCTAACTATATTGAGATACATCTGGCGTCTTTTGTTAATGGCTATTGAGATACATTAAGAGTTGGTCGGCATCCACTGTGCTAGGATTAGAGTACGTGAAGCAATCTCAGAGACGCTTGTCACAACAATTTCAAAATTAGTAACAAACACTCAACTTGAATCATCAACTTACAATGCGAGATCTCCAGAATGTTGAATGCACTCGACTATAGCATTTTTCTCTCCTTTGGACCGAGCTATCTGGTCTTTCAGAATATCAACTTGTATTCCAATTTCTAACAGTAAGTTGCAGTTCAGTGAGACAATCATCAACATCACAGCGGCGTAAAAAGACAAGCAAACTATTTGGAATATGCATAATACTTTAGTTGGACACCTGGAATGGAAACTTGTTAATCCAAGAAATAGCAAAAGATAAAGTGAAAGAGTGTTTTCTACCTAATTGCATTTGCTAATCTTACGTCACTGACAAATTAAAATAGAATAAATTTGATTATAAGTTACGCTTTTCTGAACGCTAAATCGAACAACATGAGCAGAAATGACTATTGTCGTTTCAGCCATCTAGGTATGTATCATTTTTCACAGTACAAATTAAAGATATTATGATATGATTGACAAAATATCTTATATTTAACTCTTCCTGCACCACGTCGAGGTCGCGTAAAGACATCATTACAATTTTTAAATGGTCTCGCGCTCTCCCGCTCCCAAAAGTTGTCCAGTCCTCTCAAAGCGACAAGCGAACATAACGTTACCTGTTGTTTTGGATGGACCAGACGTGTTACCTTCGTTCATTGGCATTGCCCCAAAAACGATAATTTGACCTTAAGCATTTAATATGGACCAAAAATATTTGTTTTTTGTCAAAATGGTTTAATTTTGAGATTGAGAACAATGGTCTCTTTTGTTTGACTGTGTGGTAAGCTGACTCGCGCATCAAACTTATGAAACTTCCACAAGTAACACACCATTTTTGAGTACAAAATGATTGTCCAACTAACCAAGGAGGCACATAGGAGATGCTAAGAAGTTCTTCTTGGCCCAGAATCACTGGCAGGGGCCAAATCATGCATCCACCGTAATTGATGATGCTAAATATCTTCCTTATTCTGCATCCTGCATTTTTGCTTACTTCGGCGATCTCCAATTGGTGAAAATTCTTTGGTTGGAATCGGTCTGACTCCAAGCAGTTCATAATGTTGCGGAAAATTTTGCCATTTTTTATGATGAAGTACACCTAGATCAATAATGAAATTTTTCTAAAGCACCCTTTTCAAAATTGTCGAAGATAGCTAATAGCAATGATGTGATGGGAATGCAATAACAGACTGTCAACCTGAGAGAGCACAAATTTTCGATATTAACGAAATAGATTTAGATCTTGGTCTTTCAGAAAATTGTGAACTACGCATGTAATCACAGATGATTCGGTTTGAACTTGTAAAAACTAAAGAACTGAGATAAATGTAAAATACTATTAATACCTTCAAGCAACAACCAATGTTATGCGGAGTTTTCGATCCTGAAAACAATTCAAATTTCATGTTGATGAAATATACGAGATTTTCGCATATAAATAGTTTTACAGCGTATGCATTTTAAACGTTCATCAACATTTTTGTTTTAATTTCAGTACATGATTGTTTTTAAACGGCCCAAAGTTTCTCAATTTTGGCATTTTTGTCAAAAACTCACTCATTTTCGAGTTTGTAACTTATTGTTTTATGCAAGCGCAATACTTCATATTTCAAATCTAGAATAAAACACATTAAGACACAAAACATAAAAGTAAAAGTGTTGATTCACTGTAGAAGTCTTATTATAATTGTATATTGTTTCCTTTCAACTTTTGATTTTATTGTGAGTGAAGTTGAGCAACACTTTCATTTCTATACCTAGTGTGTTTTACTATAGATCTGAAGTAGAGAACAAATCTTGAGAGCATCATTCATATATCAAAATCTATCAAACCATTTGAGGTGTAGTATATGAAATAGAAATTTTAAGGTTGATCTTTTTTATTAAAATTCGCCAATATGCTTATACAAAATTTTGACATAGCCACTTCACTCGCACTGCTAAGACCAACTGTTAGTCGTTTAGAGCTAGCGTCATAAATATACATAATACTGAAATGGCAAAATATAAAAATACTAATATTATGCTTGTAAAATAATACAATGCATTAAAATATCTTACCTTAAAAAAAACAGCAAAGATGAAAGAAATGATAATACATGCACATAACACAAAATAAGCTTCTGTTTATAATACAGTAAATTTAAAAACAATCATTGTTTAAAAACAAAATCGGCTGTACGATCTTTTAGAGATATAAATTTTTCCATAACTTTTTCATCAAAACTATCTATTTCATGAGTCAAGTTTCTGTTTATTGACAACATAGCTAGAGCATTTAGTCGATCATTTCGCATACTGTTTCTTAGAAATGTCTTTATGCGTTTAAGAGTTGAAAAACAACGTTCTGATTCTGCTGTGGTCACTGGGGTTGTCACAATGATTTTTAACAATTTAATAACTTCCACAAATGTATCGCAAAGATTGTTCGTAACAAGAAAAGACAATAAATTCATAGCACCAACGATTTCCTTTAAGTCTTCCCTGGAGTATATAACTTCTAATTCCGTTTTCAGTCTGGCTTTACACAACATTGGATAAAAAGTAGCTACGGCATCCAAAATAGCAGAAGGGAAATTTCGGGAATATTTCAAATATGCCTCTGTATTGAACAATTCGGCTGCCTGTAAATGACCTCGAAAGGAAAATCTATCTTTTACTTGCATTGTTATTATGTCGCACACTTCTTTGGCAATGACCCCTCGTATACCGTCGTCAGTTCTTCTTCTTTTATTAGATTCAAACTTTGTTTCGGTATATTTTTTAATATCATCAATTTGACCTCTTATATTGTCGATACTCTTTTCAAAAATTACTAAGTCCTTTTGTAATTGAACACTATCTTGATTTCTTGACTGCAGCTGGTTATAAAGGATGTCAACATGCGGAAATATTTTATGGAATACTGTCAACCAAAACAAGAATTCTTGATCTTCTAACGCTCTTCTCAAACTTGAAGCTTCATTTAAAGTAACACCTCTATTACATCTCTCTTCTATTTCTTCAAACACCTCTATGAGCTTCTCACGATGTTCATAGACAAAGTTAACTGTACGAATGTTATAGTTCCATCTAGTAGCAGCTACTCTGGGGATTTTCTTATTTATAATTTCTTCTAAAACATCACATCGATGGGTAGAGTTCGAAAAAAAAGCTGGTATGGCCGACAAATTATTAAAAAACACACGTACTTTTGAATTTTGTGATGCACTTTTTTGCATAATAAGGTTTAGCTGATGGGCATAACAATGTATGAAATGTGCATTAGGATATTTTTCTTTAATGTGAACTTGAACCCCACCGACAGAACCACTCATGACATTCGCACCATCATATGTTTGTGCTATCAACTTTTCAGGACTTTGTAAAAGAAACGGATCAATTTCATTTTCTATGCAAGTTTTTAAACCTACTGATGTCTTATCTTTAACTCTCAAAAAACTCCAAAAAAGTTCTTGTATGCCGCCTTCGTGGAAATATCTGAATATTAAAACCATTTGGCACTGATTTGATATGTCGGTCGTTTCATCGCATTGAATTGACAGGAAATTTGCGTTTTTAATTTGCTGCAAAATTTCTTCTCTACAAACTTGTAGCATGCTATCTAATATGTCATTTTGAATGCTTTTAGAAGTTCCCTTGAATACCGTGGCATTTTGTAAATGATTTTTAAGGGCCTCATCTAACTCAGCGGTAAAATCAACTAATTCTCTAAATATTCCTCGATTCAAAGACTCTTCAGTCTCATTGTGACCTCTAAGTGCCAATCCAAAGGCACTGCAAAATTTGACACAGCTTATAATCCGTTTCAAAATGTGCCGATTTTTTCTCACTTTTTCATTATGTTCAACTATACTTTGTCTATAAGCAGAACTTATTTGTGATGCTATATTTGTCTTACCAAGAACTGCAAGCGCCGTGCACGAATTAATGTGTCCTCGGGAAGCTTCATGCTTTCTAATCTTTTCAGGAAGATGATGCAGGTCTTTGATTCCCGTCCTTGACCAACTAGAGTCCATACCTGACGCGGCATTATAAAATAATAAACAGGGGAAACAGTACAATAAATTTGTCTCCTCACATCCACATATCCAATTATTTTTTTTATATGTATCTTTAGAAAAATGACGGGTAAAACTTCTTTTTTCTGCCTTCCGTTCACTCACTTGCGTTAACTTTAAATCCGGCAAAGGTCTGCCCAATTGCTTAATTTCTAATTTATTCTGAAGGGACAGACGCGTAAAATCATTTTTTAAAATGTTACTGACACTATTCATTGTCATTTGCTACTCTATTCTGCAATAAAACAAAACCCGACACTAAAAATGCAGCGCGTAATCAGTATTCAATAGTAAACAACAAAACAAATGGAGCTAGCTATGCGAGACGCAGCCAGGCCGCAAAAATAATGCGCCCTAGCATAGCTATTAATACTGTACCCCGACTCTAACCGAGTCGTATCGAAAGCGCTCGAAAACACCGACGTACGGCCGCGAGGTTCGATGCGGCCCGTATAGTCCGGACAGATAAGGATAAAATCGACTGATTTCTTACAAAATATTTAGGGTGACGTTTAATATATAATATGTTCAATAAAATGTTAGCTAATTAGAAAAAAAAAATAAAAATGGTTTTATTCAATGCTTTTTTAACGGCATTTTATCTGGGGGGGCGCGCGGCCATGCGGCCTTATGGTAGAGCCGCCACTGGCTAAGACGAATCCAGCAACACAGCATACGTCAAAATCTGTCAAGCCGTATGACCTATAGCCTCTGAAATATATTTTTTTCTGTATACATACATACCCAATCGCGAAGAACATATTCTTCCTACCTACTACCTGCCCTAGTGCAAAAAAGTAACTACTGCCCATTTTATAGGTTATATTATATTTCCCTGCGTTTTTGTTTTCCACCTGAACAAATTAAGATAAATAAAGATTTTTCTAATTCTCGCGAAGACGAATCGACTGATTTTAAAAATCAAACGCCAAGATAAAGAACATCAAACGACTTTTCAAACAACTTATTACTCGATACCCCTTGTTATTTAAATTTTTTAAAGGAATGACCATGGGAGGCCGACTGTGAAAAGGGGTGAAGTAGTTTTTGGTTAAAAAGTTGTCCCCCTTGACAAATCTTTTGACGTGCCTCGGCGTTTTTTCTTTTAATCAGTGGTTTTCGATAAATCCGCGGTGGAAAGTTTTCAAATGTATATATTTTTCTATATTTGTATTGTGCTGTTGTAGGAAGGAACAGCTATTGTGTTTAGGAAATCAAATTTACTGAAACCCTTATCTTACCTCAGCTACATATAGAACTCGGCTTAATGAAGAATTTTTTGGAGGCAATGTATAAGAATGGCTGAAGAATGAACGAAAGTTAAATTAAGTGATTTAAAGTTAAAAGGAAAATTTATCAAAAACTAAATAATAATAGAACTATGCCTTAAAAGGTTTTTTAGACAAGCACAGAGCAAACAAATCATTAAACGATACGCTACGAGTAAATACATACAAAAGATGCCATTTACAGTTTTTTCTTTCGAATCTTGGAACTGTGAGTGATAAACGAAGGGAGCTGTTTTACCAGGATATAAAAAGGCTTGAAGAACGGTTTCAATGTCGTTGGAACACAGGTATGTTATCACATCACTGCTGGTGTTTGAAGCGCGAAGATACTACCCAACATAAAAGGAATAGTTAAATATTTTCTTTCTTCTGTGAGCATTTTATACGTTATTTTTGTACCCATTAGAGTTTTGAAGTCACATGTACTCGAATTAATTCTTAAACAAATAAAATTTTCTTTTTTTATTTATTCTACTAACGATTGTCAGTTACCGTGCCTAAAAATAGTACGTGAGAAAAATACGTACGTATTGTTATGAAGCAACTTGTCAGAATAAATAAATAGGAAAGCTTTATTTGAGTACTTAATTTTATTGAATCTTGTAGCTCAGCGTAATTACGTTCCGGCCTCGACTCGTAAATAGAACAGGTGTAGTACCCTGTTTTGCGGCCAAACCCACGAGCTTAAAGCGCGCCCGCAGCGCAGAAAGGCGGCTCACAGTGCCCTCCCGTCTTCTTCCGCTCTGGCCCCTGGCCAACAAACTCCCATTCCTTGTTCTCGTGCCGCGGGCTAAGTATCGTTTTATGAGTTCGCGCACCGATTTTTACGTTTTCAACATTGTCGAGGTGCCCAAACATAAGAAATGACTACTCGTACGAGCAATCGCTGAGCACAAATATTAGACAACTGGAGCGAAGGTGGGCCAATAACTGGTGTGCATTGTCGGCAGGACGCTGTCGGAAGGTCACATTCAGAGCTCCTTTCGTCGCGGAGCAGCGCGTCATTATGTGCATCATCAACCGAATAGATGCAGAATCAGAAAGTGGCGTTCTGGCTTCTTTTTCTGAAGGGGCGTCATCATCAGGTAATTGTCGACTAACCGAATCTACTTAAGGTACAACTTTATGAAGTTAGGTGAATGTTAGTATGGATGCGTCACCGGCGTTGCAGACTGTGCCTGACCCGACGTTTGGGATCACGTTACGACACTAGACTATGTTGCTAGGGATAGCAACCTGGACCTAGCTTGTGATAGCCAGCTCCATACCAAGGGTGAACAAAGACGTTTGGGATAACGTTGAAACATGGGAGTTGCTTGGGATTGCAACGTGGACCTGGCTTGTGATAGTTATGCGAGGTTGGCGTTACAAATTTCATCTGGTTTGTGATAACCATGGGACAGGATTGTAAGGATGCACATGACAGGTTAGGAAACCGCCAAAGTATCATTTGTCGTTAATAACAGATAGAGATAAGGTTCCATCTGTACGAGACTAGCGTTACATTATGCCTGTGATAGCAAGTTCCATTTGGTTTGTGATATCAATGGAACACGAACACGTACCATTTTTCACTTATAACTGAGAAACATTAGGTACATCTGTGAGACTAGCGTTGCATTTTGCTTGTGATAGTAAATTATATTTGGCTTGTGATAGCTATGGAATAGGTTCGTAAGTATGCACGACAGGTTACGAAACCGCGGAAGTACCATTTTTCATTAATGATGCATCTATGGTAGACTAGCGTTATATTTTGCTTGTGGTAGCAAACTCCATCTGGTTGGTGGTAGCTATCTAACATGACTGTACGTATTAACATGAAAGGTTAGGAAACCACCAAAATACTAATTTTCAGTGATAATGGAGATTAGGTACTATTATGCCCAATTAGAGTTACATTTTGCATAGCCGGCACTCGAGGAGTAGGGCGCTCTGGATTGTGATGTCTTAAATATTATTTATTCTGTTTCGATAGATGACGCATATCCACGATGATGCTAATGACGATAAATGAATAAATTCTATTCTACAACATGCCAGTTGTTCGTTAACTGCAAGTGGTAATACTCTCACCTCCCGGCTAAAAAAAATGGAGTGGGCGCATGCTGGCAGACATTTAAACAAAGAACTTAGGATTATTTTAACAGAGGCTTCCATTGATAACTTGCTCTTCGGAGTCTGACCAAACAAGTCAATTCTAAATAGAAATCAGATAAATATGGGCAGCAACTGGAGGCCAAAAGGCCGGACAACGTACTAGCAACATAGACATCACCGATTATTCAAACGTAGATCAGCAGGGAGACTACTCATCATTAACGGCAGAACTTTAAGAGTGGCGCTATAAAGTCCTGAGTTGGATTCGAGGATTCAATTACTATTCACATGGCGACCGGTTCAGCACTATGCCTCTGTTGAATCTCATTAGTCAATCTATGAATTATCGACCTTCGAAACAACAGTCTCTCAATTGCTCAGCTGCCTTGCTGTCAGTAAAAAAGTTGAGCTAACTGAAAATTAGCGCCTATTCAACGTTTTCTTGCCCCCAACTGATTGGTCAACACGTTTGATTCCTTCCTCAAGGCACTTAATATGTTTATAGGGATAGAACACCTAAGATAGAGATACTTTCTTAGCGAATCAGGATTAGGAATATGCACAAGTTCTGGTATCCATCAAGGAGAGTCATAGAATATATTTCAGATTTATTTTCCGGGGACAGCTCTTCCAATACAATGATGTGCCGTCTAGGGTAAATTATGCCCCTCACAACACCCACAAAGTTAATAAAACCACTTCTGACATACCTTAAGGAAAAAGCACATTTCTATCTGTATTACCTTCTGGTCGGTTATACTGATAGAGATTGCCTGGATAATATCTGGGCAACATTTAACACTCCTTCTTTTAACCAAATACAAAAAGCTGCTTGAACTCCAGCCAAAACTTTGCACTTTCAGGCCCAGTTTCCAATCGTGACAGAAAGGAAGAATCTTTACTTAAACGGAAGAGGCAGACATACTAAACTTAGTAAGGGCAATAATGGGCAGCAACCAAGACAGAGTCCGAGACTTTGCGGTATGCAGCGGAAACTTGATGTAAGCTTGTCTTGCATTCCGTTACAGCCGACTTACGTGCAAAATTTCTTGCCCAGTAACATTCTCAATAGAACTTCAACGCTACTATGCCACTAACATCTGCACTTAAGGTCTACCTTGGCTGGTACTCAAAGAAACTGGCAGATGCGGCCAATGGTATTGAATCATCCAACTTTCAGTTGTATAATTTCTTGGGCTGGGGCATTCGCTGGGCAGGAGAAATGTGACATGGTGTTTGGTCACCCGATGCCAATTATCTGGAACTACTGACAGTTTTCTTAGGTCGTGAATGCTTTGCTCCAGACTTGAGGGGCTGTCGAATATTATACACCACTGATAATCCGAAAACTATATCCTACATCAATAGAATGGGGAGCTTCTAGTTTCCACGCCAGGGTCAGGTTGTGGAAGAGCTGTGGCAGTTGTGTAAAGAGGGAAGTTTTACTGACTTCGCGTCAAATATGAAATCTAAGAGTAAAACTGATACAAATGAAATTTTGCGTCAGTGGAACGTGGAAACGGAGTGAGAGTTCCACCTGTCATCGTCCTGATTTTGGTTCATGTGTTCGGTGTCCCTGAAATTTCGCTTCTAGACGTAACGCGAAGATCTGGTGAAGGGACCCAAAGACATCAAAGAAATCCATCATACGATTGTGGGTTTAGATTACGGTAGGACCTTTGTCGGGAAGAAATACAGTTTGTTTTTCTACCTTGAAGTTTCTCACCTTACAGTTTGATAAGAGATTAAGATATAATTGTATGATATATAAGTCACCTAATAGTCTTCTACCCAAAATGCTACTAACGATGCAGGCATAAGATGGTTTTCGAGGGGCGTTTACAGGTTGAGACCATCTCAACCGAAATATAGCCCCACTTGAGATACTGTGGCAGTTCTCAACCAACTAGAGGGGCTGCTTGTGACCTCTGTCGATATTCGGATCAGGAAATCAGAAGCACTGCTAGCCCTAACCTCAGGCTAGAGTGTGCAAACTCTGCCCCTAATTGAAACATACAACATCCGGATTGGGTTGAATAATATTCAGGGTCCACTCATGTGGCAACCAATATTAGTTTTGCCGTATTTTACGTGCAAATACCTGTGTAGTCAGAGTATTTATTTGTCACTGTAAAGAAACTTCATCATTGTGCCTCTGTTCTCACTATATATAGATGGATAAACTCTGTTTCAGCAGAAAGTAGTGTAGATGTGTCACAACTGACAGCTGTGAGCTTAAACGCGCCTATTTCTGCGCCGGCTAAATTATAGTACGCTCAGACCCGCGGCGGGCTGGAGCGCATTTCCTAAGGCACCTCACAAATTTCTTATGCCAATCAAGCACCTTGCAGAAGCGGCATTTGTAGTAAACCAAATCTCCACACCTTAAATACAACCATTTTATTACATTATTTCCTACTTACCATGTAATAGATGGTATTTTTATTTTTGCCGATATACGTCGTATTACCTGTTGTTAAAAGCCCTGACATGAATGGTGTACAACTTCTGTAGTTGTGTACAACCTATTGTTTACTATTGAATCGCGTTAGTAGTATATTGTTGGAACTCGATTTAAACATCTACGCCTGTTCTATTTACTTCGACGAGGCCTTCACATAATTAAAACGAACATCACTTACAGGTAAGTTCGTTTGATCCTGTAATTTTAAAAGATAGTTACTACGGGTGGGAAAGTATTGATATTGGATTATAATAATATTAACTACCATCATGTATAAATATCAGCCTGTTACAATTTTTTCTCGAGTAAGGGCAAATATACAAATATACAAAAATTCTGTGGACTAATAAATTACAGTTACCTGACTGAGATTTCCAATATTCATACCGTAGATGCATATGATCGTTGAAACTTCACCTAGTGTAATATGGTCCCAGTGTGTTGGAATGTAAGCCCATCCAAGACACAACAACATTACCAGGCAGATCAATATTATGGATCTGTAGATTTTGTACCTAATTGGACAATACTAAGCAATTATTGGCTTTAGATTCATATACAGGGTTATCCAAATTAAGTGTCCACCATTAGTAACTTTGTTATTAGTGAAAATACAAAGTTGTTTGAATTAGCAAACTAGTAGCATTTTTAACGCTGGTAAAAATGAGAAATAAAAAAAACAATTGAGAGTCGTTATTTTGATTTTTTTCAGTAAAATAACATTTTTTTAAATGGAAACCCCTGTATATTATATTTTTTTCTGTTAAAGCATCAAATTTTAAACAAAAAAGTTCATAATGACTTTTCCGCTAAAGTCAAAAATAAGGTCAAAATAACGATAAATATTTTTAATTATTTGCAGTATTATAATATTAAGACGGCTATGAAAACAACATGGCGTTCGCGATTTGACAGCATTAAGATAAGCGACAAATTGTTAAACTGGACATACTCGCAACTAGAAGGCTTTGGAAAACAATGATAAAATCAAATAATGTCAAACATTAGTGTAAATACTTGTTTATAAGCTTTATTGTGTCATTAATTTAAAGAAAAATGTTCTCCCATGAAGAAAAGTGTGATATGTTAGAATGCTATTTAGTGTGCAGAAAATCCTCCTTGAGAGCAAGAGAATACTACAGTGAATTATATCCCGCTCGCATTCAACCGTATGAACGATATTTTCTGAGACTTTATCGAAAATTTAGGGGCAACGAAAATGTTTTTGCTAAAACAAGGGCAAAAAAAGAATTCATAATAAGCGAGGCCACGGAAATTGCAGTTATTGGATATTTTGAAGCTTATCGTGAGAATTCAATAGCAGATATTCTCAAGGACTCTAATTTCAGTTATGGTACTGTTCAAAGGATTTTAAAAAAATACAAATTTATTCCGTATAAGTACCGACCAGTTCAAACGCTTTTGGCAGGGGATCCAGAGAGAAGACTTGTTTTTTGCCATTGGTATCTTAGCTTCTGTCGCCAAAATGTAAATAACTTTCGTTACCTTTTATGGACAGATGAATCAAATTTTTCAAATTCTGGAATGTTTAATAGAAAAAACCACCATTATTGGTCAAGAGAAAATCTTTTGTTAGTACATCCAAGAGGCCCACAAGTCCGTTTCAGTTTCAACGTTTGGTGCGGTATAATTGGTTCAAAAATTGTTGGCCCGTTCTTTTATGAGGGAACCCTAACTGGTGAAAGATATGTGGAATTTATGTCAGAAATTCTGACTAATTTCTTAGACGAATTGGATCTTATAAGTAGACATCATCTGCATTTTCAGCAAGATGGCGCACCTGCCCACAACTCCAGAGGTACTTATCATTTTCTAAGTACTACTTTTAATGATCAGTGGATAGGAACAAATGGCCCAATACAGTGGCCTCCCAGATCACCAGATCTAAACCCACTTGATTACTTCTTGTGGGGTTACTTAAAGAACCAAATTTACAAGCGAAGGTACGATAACCTTGACGCGTTAAAGACTGCAGTTAGGGAAAAGATAACCCAGATAGATGGTAGGACCATACTTAAGACAGTTCGAGCAGTTGAAAACGTGCCCAAAAATGTATTGAAGAACAAGGTGGTGTTTTCGAGCATCTTCTTTAAAAAAAATTATTATTGTATTTTGGAAGATTATAAGTTGATGTTGAAAATAAAGTTTGTCGATACAATTTAATTGTTTCAGATTGGAGGCCATAACTTCAACAATTTGTAACCTAGGAGAAAAGTTATTGTAAGCTTTTTTGTATAAAATTTGATGCTTTAACAGAAAAAAATATAATATACAGGGGTTTCCATTTAAAAAAATGTTATTTTACTGAAAAAAATCAAAATAACGACTCTCAATTGTTTTTTTTTTATTTCTCATTTTTACCAGCGTTAAAAATGCTACTAGTTTGCTAATTCAAACAACTTTGTATTTTCACTAATAACAAAGTTACTAATGGTGGACACTTAATTTGGATAACCCTGTATACAGACGCAAAATAGATTGCCGATCTCTTTGATCTTGTTACTTCCCACGCCTTGTGGCGTGTATTCGCAAAAATTTCGAAAATGAGATATGTTTTTTTGATATTACCATGTCACTCATTTCAGTCGATCTTTGTCGGTCTGTCTGTTTGCTGATCCTAGCTCAGTATAAACTTGGAAAATACCGCTTGAATTTTGATGAAATTTTTACACAAGGAAAAAAAGTTTGTATTTTTTGAAAATCATTTTAGTGACCGCGGAGCTATAGCCAAACTCTTAGGCCCGTACCGTCAGTCGTTTCCTAAAATTGTTAAACCTCGTTTCCTTTCGTTTCAAAGGTTCCTGATCATTTTTGATAAAAATTTTGCAGGGGTTAAAAATTGGGTGTTGGAACTATAGAGGAGAGGGGAGAGTATTTGTAAATGTTTTGCTGTTAACAAATTATACGTTATAATAATTCTACGCACCTATTAGACATACAGGTATTTCATACATCATAGATTTCCGCGTACATATATATAAAGGGCGATTCACAAGTCGTGATCAAAAATGAATTATCATATACCACATTTTAAGAGGGGTCTTCTATGTAACATTTTTAACTCGAGAGCTTCATTAAAAAGATATGGGGTGATGGAAGTTTAAAATAAAAACAACTTTTTTAATAAGTATTGTCCACATTCAAAAGTTTTTACTTAAAATTAACGTGCACCAGTGGCGGAGATACAGGGGATTAGTGGCATTATTTTTCGAAACAAAAATAGTACCCCACTATTTTTTCGAATCGCGCAATTTTTAGAATTATACCTTCAATTTTCTACAAATGATTACTCTTGTGTTTTTTCTTAGACTGCACTGTTTTCGTAAAAGTAAAAATAAAACAAGTTAGATCATTCATGAAGAGCCAAGATACAATTAGTTTCAAAATAAAATAGGAGACCTTGATACCAACTTGTTGTTTTTTGGGAGATAGTTTATCAAAGTTATGTGTTATACGGTTGTTATCGTTACTACTATCATTTTTGTTTGTAAAAGTCAAGTCAAAAGTTTCTATTTTCCATTTTTGGGTGTTGTGAAATGGAATTCAGCAATGATGAGTACGTAGATATTTCTTTGTGTACGGGTTCTGTAATGTTTTAGCGGCTCCTCGGAAGTACCAACGTAGATTTCCTAACAGACGCCAACCTACCCCAAAGGTTTCTACCTATTCATTTCTAAGACTTCGGCAATATGGAATTACCAAACTTCTTGGAGTTAGAGGTCACGATAACCGGCATACTGTTCAAGAGGAACTGGAAGTCATTAAATTGGCGTTGAATGATCCTAGTACAAGTACTAGTTGGATTGCTGCCAAGTTACCATGTTCCCAAAGTCTTGCGTGGAGAATTTTAAATCGGGAAGTTTTACATTCTTACCATCGGCAAAATGTGCAATATCTGCAACCCGGCGACGAAGTGCAAGTGATTTGGTTTAGTGCTCAAATGAATCGCTTTTTACGAGGAGTGGAACCTTTAATTCTCAATATTTGGACATAAGAAAATCCCCTGTCTGTAAGAATCCACTCGTTTTAACACATATTTTTAAGAAATGCCTGGTGCGGCATTTTCAATGGCCAATTGCCATGTTGTTAGGTGACCGGTACTGAGGGTGGGACCGTAGGCTATTGTTAAATCTACTATGGACTAATTGCATGAGCCTGTTTAACTGACATGATCCATTTAACTCCTTTGTTATACATCTTCGTAACCAACTTTTTTTCTAAGAAGGACTAACTTGCGCGGAATATACTCCTTTATGAATTGATGACTAACTTGATGCCATATTTAAATAACTCAAAAGAGAGAGAGAGAGAGAGAGCAGCAATTTGCCCGTATGGGCAAAAAGCATGTGTTTCGGCATAATCTGAACTAACGTTGAGACACCAACTACCAATTAACATGTTTGCCCACTAGAGCTTTCCCCAGGAGGGCGAGTACTTTGAGAAACAAAAATTAAATAAAAAATACATTTTTGTAAACAAGCTTTTAATTAGCTAATTTTGTCCGATTGGAAATATTTAAACGATAATGAAGCTCCTCCATCTCAAGTTTTCAAATAAAAGATTGTTACTTTTGATAGCACGACGGGAAAAGTATGTGACACGCTATTATTTGAAAACTTGAGATGAGGGAGCTTTATTATCGTTCAAATATTTCCAATCGGAAAAATATTTTTAAATTTTTAGTTTATTAACAGCTAATCAAAGCCTTGTTTTAAAAATCATTATTTTATTGTATTCATTTCTTGTTAGTATTTATGATGGCAAATAACTAGTTTGGTAATTTCTATACAATTTTCATATATTTCATTAATATGACTTTACTTTTGTAATATCAGAATTTCGATAGATATGAATCATGACAATAAATTGATCGCCATATGAATGAGTATTGAGGGTAACTTAATACAAAGTTCCACCCCTTATTTCACCCTCTTAGGAGTTCAATTTCCAGAATGCCAAACCAATCCGTATTGTCGAACATTTATAAAATGTTTCAGGTATATTTATTGAAGAAAAAGCTTCCTACACAGTTTCGTACCCTTTAGTGGGTGAATTTATGAAAACCTTGGATAACATTTAATTTATGTTGATTGCTTTTACAATGTTTTAAGTGAATCCATTGAAAAATAGATAGTTTAGTGCAATCTTTTAGCCCCTATTTCACTCCATAGAAAATGAAATTCTAAAAATGTTGAATTTCATTCTCTAGGTGTGTTGTAGAGTATTTGTCTAGAGTTCCAAGTAAACCCATCGAAAGAATAAAAATGTTCATACATATACTCAACCCCCTATTTCACCCCCCTAGGGTATGCATTTTCAAAAGTTTCTTTTCAGTGCTAAGACTATTGGCTTACGCCTTATGGAGGGGCTCTGTGTCCTCTTTTGTAAAGGGTGTCTCAATAAGAGCGCGGGATTTGATTTTCAATAAAAAGACAATTCCTTTACGAATTAAGCGAGTATTTATATTTCAACATAAATAGAAAAAGCTGCGATTAAACTTGAAATAGGACATCCGGTAAATGGCGACCACGAAACCTCTGGCACAGGATCTTTTCTCAAAATTCTGGATAACGTTTTCGCATAACCGTGGGTTTATTTCTTCTTTAAGGCGTTCAACTGATTGTGGCTTGTTCGCATACACCTTTTACTTCACATAACCCCAGAGGAAGAAGTCCATTGGCGTTAGATCGCACGATCTTGGAAGCCAAGTTTGATCGCCAAATCGAGAGATGACATGGTCTGGAAACTGGAACTGGAAACTTGGTCCGCAGCAACGCCATTGTTTCGCGGGCTGTGTGGCAGGTCGCACCGTCTTTTTGGAAGAACATATCCTCCACATCAATTCGATCCACAAAAATTCGGTTAACATTTCGCGATACCGCACACCATTAACAGTTACACCAGTTCCAGCTGCATTTTCGAAGAAATACGGTCCAATCCGCCACTCCACAATGCGCACCAAACGACTCGCGGCGGATGAATTGGTTGTTCGATTATTATACGATTCACAACCCCAAATTCAGTACTGCTTATTGACGTCCCCATTCAGTCATCAGAAAAAATGATTTTTTCGAGAAATCCGCAGCAATTTGGTGGTGCTCCAGCGCCCAATCAGTGAATTCACGGCGCTGCGCAAGGTCCGTTGGCTTGAGTTCTTGCGTCAATCAGTGTGGGTCTGGTGTGGTCTTAACATTCAGCAACGTGAATTTTGTCCCAAGTTTTGTAATTAAACGGCGAACTCTCGACTCATTTGTCGTATTATTGCGACCGAAAATTGTACGTAATTTGCGAACTGTTTCCGCGTAATGTTTTCCATTTTTTTAGTGAGTTTTCACAATAATTAAACGTTGCTCGTTAGCTGTCATCAAGTAAACACCATACAATTTGTACAAAAAAAATGACATCAAAGTCAAATCCGGCGCTCTTGTTGAGACACCCTGTATATAAAGATATAAAGATTTTGAAAGAAAAAATCATACCAGATTTTGGAGCACCCAGAATTAGGCTCATCACCAGACCAAAAGCCCATGTACCGGATCATCTGTATATCCGGTGAGATCAGTGATAAATAATCGTAACGCTCCATGGTGTTATCACTCCATCACCGCTTACTGATGTTATGAGCTCATATTTCTGTGGCGGCAACTTATAAATGTATGGGAAATACACGGTGTATCTCCTAAAAGTTTCACGTGAGAGTTAATTAAAATTTTTAATGAGTGCATTCAGGCAGCTACTGCGCTGTAGCGCCTTATGTAGTAAGTAGTGGTCTATTATTATCTCATCGTCTTTTCTGTGTTCTAAACGATCCCGAAAATTTCCAAACAGGTATGACCAAGTGATCTGGAATCTACATGTATACCATCAATCAAAAATACATACATTGTTAAATCCCTATGAATGTATAAGACTTCTCCTGTGCTTAGGAAATGACAAAAACAAAATTAAAGAGGATTTCATTATAGTCGCACTAAAATTTTTTGGCGTGTCCAAAATAATAGGTTAATGAATTGAAAAAACGGATAAGTGAAGAATTCGCTTTATTAATGGACTTAGAAAATATATATATCTGGAAAAATTAAGGACTCGTATTGGAAATAAAAATTTGCATTACAACATTATATATTCTTGTACATGAATGATTTTGCATCTCAAGGACAAAATGCATACTAGATCACACCGTCATAATTTCTAGTCATGCCTTTTCACTCAATACTTTCATTGAAGTTTTACGTATCAATCAATCACCTATTTCTACACACTTCCTTTAGAACTTAAACAATTACCGGCGCTTAAAGAATATTTGTACTATAGACACATGTAAATTATTACTTTTTGAAATATCTAACTTCAAAATATTCCAGTGACTACATCTACCTAAGGTTAGGTGTAAGAGTAGCTTTAAGTTAAATGTCGCCTTTTGTAGTAATGATATTTACATCGATTATTCATTATTTTTATTAGTATTTGTCAATAAATTAAAGCTGAGCTGAATATTATCTGTTTGCTTATCACCTTTGTAACTATAACTAACCGCATACAAAGTTATTTTATGTATATCTGATAGTGAAGCTACAGGAACAACCAATACAGACCTACCTGTCCACTTAGTCCTTTAGCAGCAGAGGACAACACAATGTCTTACAACCCTCCACTGGAGGCGGAATTGCTCCGGCATTAAGCATTCCCTTCCAACCCATGAGACTTTATAAAGTCACAGGGGCAGGGTAGATCTCGTGGTAGCTGCCTTACGACTATCGGACGTTCGCGGAAATACAATGAGATCGCTTCTGTCAGATATCTGGCACAAATAAAATTAGAGCCCAATGAAAACTAAGACCGGCCCTTACAACTACAGGCATATAGCTCTGCTTTCTGTTATTAGTAAGGGATGGAGATGTGCATAAATCGCGAGCTTCTGGACTGCCTCGAACGTCACAGCTTGATTAACGACAGAAAGTATGGTTTCCGGCGAAAACGATCCACAGGGGTCCTCCTAGCTTACGTCACGCAGTTGTGGAGTAAACTCATGCAGTCTTATGGTGAGGCTCATGTCGTAGCTCTTGACATCACGAAAGCGTTCGATCAGCTGTGGCACGATGCCCTCTTAAGCAAACTTCCAGCCTATGGCCTCCCAAAAAAGCATTGCAGATAGGTGGCTGACTTTATCGTCGTAATCACCGGGTTCTCCTCTTCATCGCACAACTTCAACGCGGGTGTTCCCCAGCGATCGGTCTCGACTACGACACTGTTCCTCTTACATATCAACGACCTCCTTTCCTGCACGATTAACCCAATCCACAGCTTCGCTGATGATAGCACTCTGCATGCAAAAATTCAGAGTGACAAGCCGATCTTTGCCCCAGAGCTGGAATAAAGAAGACTAGCGACGACTTCCTCTCTGACAAGAGACCTGGAGGCTATCACTGCTTGGGGACGCACCAATCTTGTGTAGTTTAATGCTTCCAAAACACAGTACTGTACTTTGACGAACAAAAAGCGTCCTAGCGCTCGTCCGGTTTCGATGGATGGTCGAGTTCTGCCAAAGCGCCATTCATCTCGTCAATAGCGGCAGCTGCTGAGAAAAATATAGGCTATTTGTTTAGGGCTAAGAAGTACCTTCACACTCTATACAAGGCCCAGATAAGGTCTAGCCTGCTCACACGTTTGGGGTGCTGCCGCCTCGACTACATCATTTATGCTCGATGCTGTCCAGAGGAGGGTGGTCCGACTGATCGATGACTTTCCTCTAACAGAGTCTCGGGATTCTTTCGCACCGGCAGGCCGTCGGCGACCTAGCTATTTTCTACCGCTACACCAATGGGCTTTGCTCCTCAGAGTCTTCTTCCATGATGCCGCCGCGCGATATGCCTGCCAGCCGGACCCGGCTGACTTTGGCGTCTTATCCTAACCGTGTCGAACTTCGTACATCCAGAACTGGCCTATACGACCCCTCCTGTGTCGCGAGAGTGTCGAGATTGTGGAACAATCTACAAGAGGAGGCTTTTCCCAGTTCTACTAACCTTGGTCAGTTCAAAAATCGTATTAAAAAACTTTATTTGGGATCATCATAACAGCCGCGGTGTTCCGGCATTTAGGCTTCTGCCTGCGCGGCTGCTTCGATATAAAAAAAAACAAAAATAGGCGAAGAAGCGTAGTGTCACTATGCGGATGACCTCGAGCTGCTGTTGTAAACTAAATTTGAAAAATAAAATAATTCTGTAATGTATAGATAAATAAATTTTGATTAATTGATGCTCGGGTGAATATAGGGTATTTGAGTTTTCAGTGTTAACTAATAAAAATAGCACATTTTTCATGTTCATTATATCACAAGACTAAATGATATGTCATACATATTTGACAGGATCAGATGATATTTTGATTTTGACTGATTTTATAATAGGTACCAGGGGATAATGTATGGCCAGGGGGGGTGACATTCAAACTATAAAGAACACTTGTGATATACATGCCACTGACTGAATAAATTCAGTGGTTCTTTGGAGGGTTCTTTACTAAAAATAACAAGCTTTCAGTTCCATCGGTGTTCCTTCAGTGTAAATAATTAATAGTTTGAAAAAACTAAAAAAAACACGCTTTTATAGCTAACCGAACTAAAAAGTAGAAAATAACAATTTTTAATTACAAAGAGCTTATATACTGATTGTCAAAAAAAGGTAAACACCTACGTATGTATATTAGAATTCAAGAATTTTTTACATATCGACCTATCTTGCCATGAACAACAAGTGATAAAATGGTCAGGTTTTTCTTTAGATTGTATTCGGATTGAAAAATTTGATTTCTCTAAGTTAACAGGAAAAACCACATGCAACGGTGAAGCTTTAAATGAAACGATATACAGGCCAAGCTAATAAAAGCATGTTAAAAAAATAAAAAAAGGGATACCACAATCTGCCAGTGAGCTATAGAGGCTTGTAGTTTTAGTATTCGTAAAGCGGCATTTGAAATCCGTGGCTTTTTATTAACATATCTGTTTTTTACAGAAATTTACTTAGAAGGATAATCAAAAACCGTTTCTAAATTATGGCATTGTCATCGGTCCTTGATATGTATGTGAAGTTTCAAATTAATCAAGCTTCTAGAAATTGGTGAAAATTATGCTCAAAGATTCCGTTACATGTTAATGACAGAAGTAGAAAGTAGAAAAGAAGAGCAGAAAAGACAATTAACACCAAAACTGCCATATTGTGTTGTATCAGTTACATAAACAGAGGTATGTTGATATGTGTAGTCAAAGTCGAGAGTAGAGCACGCCAAGAGGTAGACATTTTGATAATTTTTAAGCATATTGTACCTAAATCTTAATGGTTACCTTAATTTCATTATATGTTCCAAATAAAGCATGATATTATTCATTATTTGGGTGATTTTTGTCCTTAATTTGTTGATGTGCTTAAAAATTTTTTCGGCGGAATATTAAAATCCAGAATACCGTACCTATATTCACCCCACCCCCTGATAATAAAATATTTTTTTGTTGGACTAAGAATTTATATTATGCAGCATTTTGTGACAAATAATATGGAAAACAGCCGATAATGAAAATAGTTTTTCCGATGAGGGTATCCTCCCTGTAATGACCGTTGAAGAAAATTTTCTCCATACATGACCTGATTATTAGTTGTGTCGTAGTGAAATGAAAATACTACGTTTTCTTTGACGCTTTGTTCGACTGAATATTATCTATATTTTACAATAATAATATATGCTTTTCAACACATCATATGGTTCTCTCTAATCTATAAGACATATGCGTGTTATTGTGATTTGCTTTGTTACATATAATTTATTATTCTCTTGCAGTGAATGATTGAAGTCTGGATATGTTGCAAAAAATTTCTACACATCCACACTTTGATTCTATAAGTTCTTTTGCAATATTCGTGTGGCCTGATACAGATATAGATATCTTCGCCTTAGCCTAGAGCCTCGTCACTGTAGTATAGTGCAACCTGAGTAGTTGACGTTCTTGGCGTAGTACAGCTCAGATAGGTCAGTCCCATCCACATACAGGTATGTACGTGGTACTGTACCCCTGTAGAACGAAAAGTGCTTAAACCTGATAACGATGATTCTTAGCTGACTGTTAAGTCAGAAAGTAATGTAAAGGCAAGTAGATAGTTTACATTATAACTTAAAAAACATTTCTTCAAACTATATCTTTGTATTGAAGATATGTGTACCGGAGCTTGTTCCTCCTATTGCTTTCTGACATTTTCTGAAGAAAAATGTCAAAATGGGGGTCCGATATCCAAATAAAGGAAATCATACCAAATTTTTCGTGGAAGTGTTTATTTATTGAAACACATCTGAAGACATGTAAAGTATGAGTTTATAATACAGAGAAATAAAATGTAACAATGAAAAATATATAAATTACATTATAAAAAATAATTCTATCCTAATCATTGATAAACTATGCACTCAAGAATGAGAGGTACAGTAGGTAGCAACTGTAAAGTATCTCTGTCATGTGACACAACCTTATCTCTTTATCCTGTAGGAAATCTACATGTATTTACTAGGAGTCAAAAAATGTTCCTTGGGCACATTGTTATTGTCCTGTGTCAGCTCCCACAGACAATCGGTGATGTTCCTCTTTTGTTTCAACGACATTGTCAAGGCCTGCCTGACAGAGTTGCTGTCAACTGTCCTCAGATCTGTGGCCAACTCCAAAGCCGCAAATACTCTAATGACCTTGGTGATGACGTCAGTACCGTATTGGCCATATTCGCTAGTCTGATAGTCCCATGGAGCCATATAGTGGTAGGCTAGCCAGTTAGTTTTTGTTATTATGAATACTAGATTGGTATCTGCAGGATATCTGAAAGAAGAAGAAGTAGATATCAACAGATTTGGATAGCCGGGAAGCAGACAAATTTCAAAACTTTGACCTAATCCATCCTTATTAATGGGTGATTTGTTTAGAGGTTCTTTTTTTAGAAGTGAAAAAGAGATAAGACAACCTACTCTATTGGGTTGTTCTTGCTAAAAGCTTTTTTATTCCCGAGAAAAAATAACAATCTGCCGGTAAGGGCAATAAGCACATCTTGGACTAATCTAAACTAAAATAGACATAGAAGCGAAGAAAAATTCTCGGCCTTTAGTTGTTGAAGATTATTTCTTTAAATACCCAATTTTCGATGACGCGATCCATCATAGCGAGTGGTATTTCGCGACCGTTATTGCGTCATAACACACTATTTACAGTCTGAAATTCAATCTCATTTTCTTCAGAACTTGATGTAAAAGTGATATATAAAAGTAGTAAATCACAACTAAGGCAAATACTGCCGACTCAGTTGTAAAAAAAAAGAAACAGTAGCTAGTAAGCGAAGCAACACAGAAAATTATAAATGCAATCCAAAAATAAAAAGACGAATACATTTTTTAAACTACCTAAGTTGTTTTTGCATCTTTCTTTTATGCGGAAAAAGTAAATGAATCTTCAAGATAAAGTCACACTGTTTTTGCCTTCTAGATACATTGCTTTTCGAAAAGGCACTCTACTCATTCTTTGAGCGACCCAAGCTGGCAAGCGGAAATTCGACGTTTTTTTTATACAGAAGCAGCCGCTCAGACAAAAGCCTAAATGCTGGAACACCGCGGCTACTATGAGGACCACAAGGAAATTTTGTTAATCTGATTTTTGAACAGCCTAAGGTTAGTAGAACTGGAAAAGGCTTCCTCTTGTAGATTGTTCTACAATCTCTACACCCTCGGGACAGAGGAGCGGTCTTATCGGCCAATTCTGGATGTAGGAAGTTCGACACGGTTAGGAGACCGCTCTGAGGAGCAAAGCCCGTTGGTGTAGCGGTAGAAGAGAACTAGATCGCCGACGGCCCGCTGGTGCGAAAGGGTCCCAAGAGCGTAATGGAATGGTTGCATGGATACAACATTTTAGCGTAAACGTGGCAGTTGATAGTTCCAAGAAGGCGGCTGGGCGCCATTTTGAAATACAGAATAGGAGGACGTATGATATCTCATTTTGAAGCTCATTAAGGGTACTTTGTAATCCCAGAATATGAAATCACCACCACTGAAAATGCTGAACGGGCAGGCTGTCATAGTTGAACGTTCATCGAGTTGCTTATAACTCAGCCGCCATTTTGAAATTTGGAACTTTTAGCCTAAAACATAGTATCCATGCATCAATTTCGTTACATTGAATTTCAGCTTGCTAATTTGACCTGTTCAAAAAACAAATGAGTGAACTTTTTGAAAAGCACTGCATAATAGGTTCAAGCGATTGTTTACAACTTTGCGTCATCCTTTGGGTTTTTGTGTAACAAAAAAGTAGCAAATATACTTACTTTTCACCAGGTTTTAATTGCCAAATTTTTGTAGCGCTGTGTACCAGCCATGCCAGTTGAAGATTAATCGTGTATCGCAGCCAAAATACGAGGAACATGGATGCAGATAGTTGTTCTCCCCAATATTCTGCAGGAGCATTTATTGGCAATAGAAGCACGAATATAATATAGAGGGGGATATACCATCTACAAAATCAAGATAGAAATACTATAAAGTATGTAACTCGTATGACGGGAGCCGATTCAGAGTCGGTATTACTATCAAATTACTATGATTCGAAACCGATTTTTTTTTGCGTAGAGCTTGTGATGTGCTTATTTTTGATTTGATGTTTTATATATTTTGAAAATAACTTCCATCGTACCTCTTCTGGAACATGACCATTTTATCTTTTTCCAAGTCACTCATATCAATCTCTTTCAAAGCTTCTTCTTGGGCAGGACTAAGGCTGAGCGTCACACTTTGTATATGAGAGTAGAAAAAACCTCTCGTTGGGTTGTAAGGATCCAAATCTGTGCCAAAATGTTTGTGATGGAGCCTGTGCCACTGAACCCAGTCATACACTGAACCCTGAAAAAAAATTTTCTCAAGGAATAAAGTCAAGTTAAAATTCAATTCAATTCAAACGACTTTATTGTAACAAATACATAAATAGAATATAGTTACAAATGGAAAAGTCTGCACAATGTTCAGTCATACTTAATTATGTAATATAAGCCCTATCTCACGAGTATCCATCATGTTTTGACGTCTACTAAGGAGAACAGCCGATCAGTGAGTGACAACTTTGTATTAGTCTGTAAAGCTGGCAATATGAATCGGCTGTTAGTCTGGTAAAACTTAGGACCATATTCAGAGTTCTAGTTCACATATCTAGATACTTTTAGTGACTGGTAATGTTGACAACAAAATACATGAAGTAGAATTAGAAAAATTTTAATGATAATTAGAAAATTATTATAGTACATCTGGGATTTATTGATTAGTAGATGTAATTTCACTTGTAAAAATAATACAGACACGTGTTTCTGGTTATTTATACATCAGTGCATTTAAAATACGGCTCAATGCCATTTAAAATCATATAATGTTTGAAGTTCTAAATAGTAGAGATGATCAACAAAGTCAAAAACTGTTTTTACTTTTTATTACATTCCTACTGGACTTGTAGTTATGATCATTAGCAGCCAATTTGCTTATAGCGTTTTTTGTGTGCGATGAAATTTTTTTAAATAAAAGAGTTATTAGCAAGTACAAAATAAAACCGTAGCGTCCAAAAAGAAAAACAAAACGCCGCTCTGTCTACCTGGCGTTGACGGATCCATCAGAATTGTCTGCCACTTGTCAATATGGGGAACTTTGAAATATTACTAGATAATTAGCTGTTATTTTACCGTAGCGAGTGAGAAACAAGATTGCACCTTCTTGTATTGAATAAATAATAAATAATGATGCAGTAAGCTGTTCACTCAATATCAATTACTTATATCATTTGCGAAGCTGTGCATTCAGAGACCATTCGTTGCCATTTTTTTTAAACGTTTTATTAGTTTCTAGCCTCTATTCTATACCTACCGTGCCAGACATAGTTTGACAGAACAGAAGGAATACTCTCAGAATACCATTGGCTGTGTACGATCTATGGGCCCATAACCTGTGAGCCCCTGCTGCTACGCCAATGTGTGCCAAAAATGTCAATGTAAACACTGAAACAATATGAACACGTGTTAATTGATAATTATGCTTTCCTGACAAGCTATCCGCCTTTTTGCCAAAGGCCAAATGCGGCTGAAGCCGATACCGAAGCCTTGGGCGGATCGTAGCTGAACGTGTTGTAGGATCGCAAATACCGGGGCACCACGGCTGCTATAAGGGGCTTAAAGACACTTTGTTAATCCTATTCTGAACTATTTAACATCGGGAGAACTCTTTAGAGAGATTTTTCTACAATCTTGACACTCTAGGGACAAAGGAGCGGTCATACCGTAATGCCATTTCTGGATAGGAGGCCGAAGTCAGGCGTGAGTGTCTGGCAGGCTTATCGCAGGGCGTCAACGGTGTAAAAGGGTCCCGAGACTGTCCGTTAGAGAAGGGTTACCGTTCAGTCGGAGAGCCCTCCTCTGAACAGCATCGAGTATACAGGGTGACTTCGAAGTTGAGTCATTTATTTTAACAGTGAGTAGATCTGATCAAAAGAAATGTTTTTTTCCTTTACCATTTTTCTGGTAAAATTAAAGTAACAAAGTTATAGCCCTTTGGAAGTTTGAGTACCGCCCTGTCTCAATAATAATATCATGTGCTCGTGTTTGGCAACAACGGATATAATCCGCCTTATCGGTTCATCGCATCGGAAACAAAAAAGCGAAAGAATTTCTAACGATGTTTTTACAATTATTTTATTCAGTTCAGTTATACATACAGTCAGTGTCAGTCGGTAAGGCGTGTGAATAGTGTCTGTTGCGTGGCTCAAACGAAATAAAAAATGGCACATGTTTATGCGGATCGGTTTCCCAATCGAGTGCAACCAACCCCTCGTGCCTTTGTTAATGTAGTACAACGGGTTCGTGAATCAGGTGACTTAAGACCTCACCTGGGACCTCACGATCAAATACAGGTCCGCACTGAAATACTTGTCGGGAGGATACTTTATAAAACAAGGTAAAAAATGTTTTTAATTTTTTTTTTTTGGTTTATCTTCCTTCTACAATCATTATCTGAAAATTAATGACTCAACATCAAAGTCACCCTGTATATATCGTAGTTGGGGCGGCAGCACCCAAAGCATGTGAGCAGTACTCTTTATCATAATAATATTGTTGATCTGCATAAGAGCACGCGCATTCAAAATTAGTCAGCTGCATACGCTCATTAATTTTATGCAATGTAGTATTTTTCAACATCAGAGCGGATAACTGACAATGGGATTAAATATTAATAACGTATGCCCTAAAAGTCTTGACACAAAATTTATTGGCTTTACTTTTAAGAAACACAAAATAATGTCAAGTTGCCTTTGGAAACAAAAGTTTGTTTAACCACTTTACTGTCAGTTGACATTTATTTGTTTTGAATTTTTCGCTTTAAGATGTCGTATAAATTAGAAATAAGAAAAAGTATCTACAAGTTGGTTGGCCGGGTACCCAAAAAATCTGTCGAATATTCCCGAATGAAAACATTTCACGCAGAACCATTTTTCGAACAATGGCGGAGTGGGAACCGGGAATACTGTGTCTGAATCTCCCAAAGAGTGGAAGACCACGTGCATTTACTGCACAGAGGTCGGAGAGATTGGTGAGAAAAGCAAAAAATCAGGTTGGAATGTCAATACAGATCTTCTAAGAGTACGATACCGTTGGAATTGAGGAGGAATGGCCTGAAATATCGAGAGACTCCCAAATACTCTCAAGCAACTCCTTGGTATACCAAGTTGCTGTCGTCAACTGAGGAGGGTACACTTTGGCAATGAAAAAATCATTATTTTCGATGACGAAAAGTATTTCACTTTGAGTAATTCTAAAATGAAGGGGAACTACCGATTTTATAAGGACAACGTAGAGGAATGCCCTGACAATGATATATACAAACATAAAGCGAAATTTGCAGATAAAATCCTTGTCTGGTGCGCAATTTATAACAGTGGTGTATCCCAACCTTTTGTGGGAAGAGTGAGGGGTGAAGCTTCGAATAGTCAGAGCTAAATTGAAAAACTGCCTTTCCAAATTGCTTCAGTTGTTGTTGTCCATGAACATCATGCTAATGACCTTATCATGTTGTAGCCAGATCTAGCATAGAGATACCCAAAACTGGCTCCGACAACACAACATACTTTTAGTTCCCAAACTTGTCGCAGGCTCGCCTAATAGAGGATTTTTGAGCGTTACTCTCTAGGAAGGTTTATCATGGAGGCTGGGAAGCCCAAGATCAAGAACAATTGAGAGACATTCGAAGAAAGTTGTGTCTGGTAGAGCAGAATGGGTCACTGCACATAATTCGATAGTATAGTTTATTTAAGTATTGAGCTGTGATTTATGAGAATTAGTGTTTAAATAAATAAATATTTCGTGCTAAAACCTTTAGGCCATTCGTTAATCATGGATATGTAGCTCATATGGAACGATTAAGTTGACTCGACAATTTCTACGCTTTATTGTTGAGACACTTAGGCATATAGATCAATGGTGAAAATACGATTTTCGTAACAAAAATGTAAGTAATAGAAATTTGCAACAGAAATCAAAGCAGAAACTTTCGTTTGCGAATATAAAATATACTGTTTAGTATATACTGTATACTGTAGTAATAGGCTCCGTTTGTTGAATGTTGTTAAGGGCACTTTAAGGGCAAAATCTAAGTTGTGAGAAATATGACTAATAAGTGCGTAGACCAGAGTTGAGAATGTATTGATATACTATCGTCAAAATATTGCTGTACTTCCTTCCCCACCCCTCTATAACCACTCACCATCCAATTCTTTACCCTAAACATTTTTTCAAAAATATCAAATAACGATGTTTGAGAGGCTTTTATTTGTCTTTGCTTTTGAAGTCTTTCTCCATCACTACTGGACCGATTTTCAACAACTATAGACCGACAAACTGACCGACCGACGGAAATGAGTGACATAGTGTTTTGTGATCTATCTACATGTCATATAATATCCAAAATACATAATATCTCATTTTCGAAATTTTTGGCTATTACAACAGGCGTGGAAGTAGAATAGAAACAACTTCAATACACGTTGAAAAATTGTTAAAATAAAATCATTTTATTTTGTTGTACAATATGCATATGCCATTTTTTGAAATCTATGGAATGAAGACAATAACAATCTAACAAAATATTTAATGAATGTTGGAAATGACCACAAGGATCTTTGAGATGTGTATTAGGTATTTCTAGGCTTTTTATATGAGCATCTCTACTTAAATTTAGTCAGGTAATAACGGTCTATCATTAGATAGAAACCTGTGTCGGATACATGCCTTAACGAATAGTTGAACTTCTCATTTTGTTACTGCGTACCTAATTTCTAATTGCATATTACGCAGCGCTATGGGTAATGCCGCAATGTTATCACTGTCAATAAAACAAGACATCACCTGTCGTTCAAATACAGCACGTAAAGACATATTTCCTGCTCGTTATTTCTGCAACACTCCGTAGATAATCTTTACGACGATTTTGCAATAACTAATTGTTGTAAGTGAATTGTTATGTGCTTGTGATGTACCGAAACGTTATGCCGATTCTTTATTTGAATAAAATGCATGAAATTTTTGTTAGGTAACACGTTTCGTTCTTTTGCTGAGAGAAGGTATAGCGGTTGTATTAAGGATTTTATTCGTATCAGGTAATTAGGCAAATACTTTCCTGGGTTATGGTTGGGACCAAGACAGCGTGTACTGTAAAATAATGTACCCATCTTTTGCTGGGTCAAGGCCTACGTAAAAATAGCGTCAATACTTCCCCTGTAAAATCTTTATAGAAATTGCTCAAACTGTGTAACAACTAACCACTCAAGTTATGAAAAGTACTGAAGACGTTAAAGTATATCAATATGCCTTGTATACCTTCAATTTGGTATTGACACTAACACGAGAAATCGCTGATATTAACCGCAATGTCTGATTAAGAAGTAGCAAAAACCAACAATAATATCAATTTGACAACTGAATTGTATATTCTGAACGATTGGAATACCCCAATAATCTACATAGTCTTTGAAAACGGCTTTTATTGTTGATAAAAAGGAAACATTTCTGCATAACTCCCCTGGGATGGACCAATCCAAAACAAGTCGGATATCTGTTGCAATATCTATACAGGGTGACTTCGAAGTTGAGTCATTTATTTTAACAGTGAGTAGATCTGATCAAAAGAAATGTTTTTTTCCTTTACCATTTTTCTGGTAAAATTAAAGTAACAAAGTTATAGCCCTTTGGAAGTTTGAGTACCGCCCTGCCTATTATATGCTCGTGTTTGGCGACAACGGATATAATCCGCCTGACCGGTTCATCGCATCGGAAACAAAAAAGCGAAAGAATTTGAAACGTTTATCACGATGTTTTTCGTCAGTCGATAACGCGTAAGTGAATAGTAGTGTGTTGCGTGGCTCAAACGAAATCAAAAATGGCACATGTTTACGAAAATGCTGAACTTGTGGACATGATTCTTATTTACGGGGGGGCAGTCTTTACAAAATGCTCCCGGATGCATCACGGGTTTATGCGAATCGGCTTCCCAATCTAGTGCAACCAACCCCTCGTGCCTTTGTTAATGTAGTACAAAGGGCTCGTGAATCAGGTGACTTAAGACCTCACAGGTGAGGGCATGCTGCTCCAAGACCGCACGATCAAATACAGGTCCGCACTGAAATACTTGTCGGGAGGATACTTTATTAAACAAGGTAACATTTTTTTTTTTTTTTTTTTATTTTTACACACATATTTTCCTGTATACCAGGAGAATCGTCCAAAAGATCACTGACGTTATAGTACGAGATCCGGCCGCTTCTGCAAATATCTGTTTTTTTTTTATAAAAAATAAGTTAAAAAACACAGACACCTGCAGATTCAAACCGGATCTTAGACTATCAGGAAAGTATCCATATGGCGGATTGGTCAAAGCACAGCGACAGCGTTGTGACATGAGTCGGACAGAATTTACCCAAAACAAATTCTCCCATATTACAGCAAATCAATGGAAAGGGGTAGGTTTGGTTCAAAGAGCAGATACTGTCTGTCCGCGAAACGTGTGGTTTCCCTCAGAACATTATAATCGTTCAAAACATTCTCCCAAGTAAAAAACCACCACCCTGGCACCACTGGTACTCCAGGCGTCAAGTTTCGGGGTTGTTTTTACAGCACGATCAGTATTGCCGTAGTTTCTCCTGGTATATAGGCTCCATGGTATGTTGCATTCGTTAACTTGAGATGGTCAAAATGACATCACATAACTAGATATTTGAAATTATTTTCAAAATTAGCTGGAAACGTTATAATCATGATGTAAAATTGAATATTTTTTTTACTTCTTGGTTTAGAAAAACAGTTCTTTACAAAAGCTGTAGCGCCTAACACAAAAATCCTCATGCAATCGCTTTTTTGTATACAGGATATACAGAAAAGAACCATCAACACCCTGTATGTTTTAATCCCTTAAAAATTGATATGTGTATACAATAACCACAACAACAAAGCATAACTAATATAAAGACCTAAAGAAAACATACGGTCAGTTAACATTTATTGGTTACAAATGATTTCGCAGCTGATCAAGTAGAGCTTTTTTCAATTTTTTCTTGAATTTGGGTAACAAATTAGTTTTTTCTAAACTATGGTCTAAGGAATTATACGATTTGATTGCATGGTAAATATATGTGTTCTGGAATAGAGATGTGCTGTGGCATGGGAATGAAAAAGACTCTCTATATTTAATATAAATGCCATGCATATTTCCTCTACCTATAATAGGTGCGTAAAATCACCAAGGTCGGGAGCGTATATGAATATACTAACATCATAAAAGTGATATATCTCCTCCCCACCCCTCAACAGCCCACACTTCCAATTTTTGTACCGCTAAATTTTTTTTAAAAATCATCAGGATACTCTGAGATGTCAAAAAACGAAGAAGTGAGCGATTATCATCTTTTTTCATTCTTGGCCTTTTTGTTCAACGCCACTGGACCGATGTTCAAAGAAATCAAAAAGCTCGCTACAGAAACAGTGGAACAATCCATTGAGCTATATTCATTACACTTTTTTGCATATCGGGCAACCTGAGGCTAAAAAAAGCAAAAAAGGGGTTTTTAGTTCGTCCAAGAGCACATAACTAGAAAAAATCAGCGTATCACACTAATGAAGATTTATTAAATGGAACAAGCTGAATATTGATCATGCATTGACAAAGTTGATTCGCGTTCAGATAGTGAGTGATGAGACATCAAACATTGGACAAAATGAAATTTGTAGTTTCCATGTTTCTCCGGCTGACTAAACCATATATCCTTAATTTTTTTTTATTGTCCGACGAGGAATGAGGAATTTTAAACATATTAATTCGGTCAAAGAAACATAAGTGATTATTGTAATTTAGGTTTCCCATAATTTGTAATTTGAAACATTTTCCTTATTTTCTTATTTTTTCCTTCTGTAGTATTGACGATAATAACTTATATACATCACTTGTGACCACGCGTAGGAATATTTCCTCATGGGGCAACCATCAGAAAAATGTACCTTTTGTAAAGGTTTATAAGCCACGAAAACTTTTGGAAAGGCAGCGTATAGCAAATATTGTCAAGTGGAGGGACCAAATCATGAAAATTCGAAATGATCTACTGAAAAAAAGTTTTAAGGGCCAATGGGAGCCTCAGCCTACCGCCTCCTACCTGCGGGCAGCATGACATCACTAAATTACTATCACGGCTATAACTACTATATTATTGTTAATTTAATTTATTTGACTATTTTTTCTAGTGCAAATATTATTCGCCCTAAATAGTGACGCTAGACCACTGTGCATTATGACGAAAAACATCTATTATTCAAAATTAATTTTTTCCAGAATTGGTACATAGGTTACTGTATATAGTCTTCACACTTTGAATCACCGGGTATAATATATCATAAAATCAGTACTTACTGAAAAATATTGTACTCCAGTACGACTCGTACAGCAAGAAATGTACTGCACATAACGCCGATAGGGTAACTTGTATCTGGAAGAGCACTTTGAGCCAGTTTGTCTCCCGAGAATTGGACAGCTTGGGTTTTCCCTCAGCATTTTCCACTTTATGCTGTTCCATTTTTGATTGTAGCGAGTACCTGCGGTCAAATATGCAGCGCGGTACTGCTGCAAAAGCTCTGACGGTGTTCGGTGGTACCGCGTCCTACCGAATTGATTCGAATATGGAGGGATTGTGACAAGCGCATATTCGAGTATTCGAAAATTAGAATAAAGAGACCGTAAAGCTGTCCTAAATCTGAATAACTTTCCGGTTAGAAAAGTATCAAGTAGGTTGACTCAGTACTCAATTCAACTTGCGTTCAGATGCATTTAAACCTAGTATTCGATATAAACGAACCAGTTCTTTTAAAAATGGGTTCTAAGAAGCCTCGTTTTCAAGAGTTTAAGAAAACGGTCTTTCAATTAATATTTCAAGGATCCTTGCGCTAATTATGTTGAACTTCCGCAGTATTGTCCATTGCAATAAGACTTTAAATTAGTACCATCCAAAGTAATGTTATGAATTCCAGTGGCGTCTCGGAGGCAGTCTCACGGATGAGATTAATATAAAATGTACGCCACTGAATAAAAAAAAATATATTTAAAAATATGTATATCAAGCAGCTAATGACGCAACTTCTTTGTCTCTTGGTATATATCCGGCTGTTATGTCGTGTTCGAGGAAAAAAATTAAAACGACTTCACTACATGTCGCTAATCGTTGCTAGATTTTTTAAGAACGTATCTTTGACTTTCTGTGACAGCTATTTTGTCAACCATTGACTCCCAGCATCTTGGAAAACAGACTTTTTAGGGCAGACGCTTATACAAACTTTTCTACTTGAATTTGGTTCATGAACGCGGCCTTGTAATTAGGGCCTATGATTAAGTAACACCCTGTATATTCGGATTCAGCGACCTAAGTTACCTAAGTGTACCATGTTATGTTCCCTCGTCCATGACAGCCACTTAAGAAGTTTTGTGACTCACCGGCTCCTAAGGGGCACAATTTAGCACAGCATAGAGCCTGTATTGTCGATTTCACATCCTTGCCATATTTTGTTTGGCTTACAGATTAACACTTTTGCTGCTAGCTTCTATGATGCAGAGTAACCCAGATACGGCAATGTCTTTTTTCTAAAATTTTAATTTCTCAGGCTTTATAATTGTCTAAGGCCCGTATCGTCAGTCGTCCGTACAATTGTAGGGCGCGTTTATGGCCTCCTTGATTGTGATAATGCTTTCTCTCCTTCAAAAATTTCTAGATTACACCTGTCCCGTGTCAGCGTCAGCGCTCTTCTTTTGTAAAGATATGTTTTCTTTTTAAATTTTAGGAAATTTCAGGCTGTTAAAACATGATATAACTCAAAAGCAAGCACAATTTGATGCAAATAGATGTTTGTGACATAACCTCAAAATATAGCGCTGACACGGAGAAGTAGAAAACTATGACAATCAAGGAGGCCATAAAGGCGCCCTACAATTGTAGGTTCTACCGGCTGGCTCGACATCGCGATCAAAATCTACGTTGATACCCCCGAGAAGCCGCTAGTGCATTATTTTCATTACAGAAACCGTACTCATCAATGGTAAATTCCATTTATGAACACTCAAAAATGGAAAAAAGAACATTTTGACTTCACTTTTACAAGAAAAATGGTACTAGTAACGATAACAACCGTACAACACATAACTTTGACAAACTATCTCCCAAGAAACGTCAAGTTGGTATCAATGCCTCCTATTTTATTTTGAAGCAGTGGCGTACCTACTATTTAAAAAATAATACCACTAATCCTGTATCTTCGTCACTGATGCACGTCAATTTTAAGTAAAGACTTTTAAATGTGGACAATACTTAGGTAAATCCACATACCAAATTTAAGTTTCTTTGAAGATATCTTTTTAATGAAGCTCTCGATGAAAAAAAATTTACATAGAAGACATAAAATGCGGTTCTGTGTATGATGTTTCACTTTTGGTCGCGACTTGTGAATGACCCTGTATATTGTGATTTTTTCATTTCTGTTGAACACCATAAGATAAAAATTGATCGAGTTGCTTCAAGATGGTCTTCCTAACGTAAAAAGTACTGTTTTTATAATTTTAATAACTTTGGCATACCAATACAAAATCCAGGCCAGGTGGTATCAAAAGTAACACAAAATGTAATTCATGACAATAAGTATGGCGGACTAATAATGATAATATATTCGAAACTAGACCATTGTCATTGTTTTTCCGTGAATTATAATTGCCCGGTCAAATGTCAATGTGAAATCAGACAATGAGTTTCAAAAACCCTAATATAAAACACATATGTAGGTACACGAACTTGGCTTATATGATACTATTGACAACAACCTTCCCAAATTAGAACCAAAACAACAAAAAACAAAAATGAATTTTTGAATTAGAAACAGAACAACTTTGTCAAACTATTTAACCAACAGATATAAAGCTTAGGCGTCTTACAATTTATGCTGTCTGTCCACCTTCCTATGGTAATACTTATAGAAATAAATTTATTCAACCACAGGTAGGGTACTAAAGAAAATTGTTCTAATGTTAACATTATACTAAAAAGAGTGAGGTGTGGATAATTTTGCGTCCATATTCAATTTCAAATGAAAAATTGTTAGTTGACGGCATTGATTGCAACTAAAGCCAAGCTAATTTTGGATGTTATATGACATGTACATCACGAAAAATCATGTCTCTTATTTCCGTCAGTCTGCATGTCGGTCTGTCTGTCCGCTAATCCTTGGCCCGTCTATAGCTTGAGAAGTTCCGCTCGGATTTTGATAAAAATTTTTAAACAAGGTTGCTAGAATGTCAGGGACGAAAGAGCTTTCTAGTTTTTGGGAATCGGTCCAGTGGCGGCAGAGAAAGAAGCCAAAAACCAAAACAACAAAAGTAGCTCACACATCTTTTTTTGAATTTTCAGAGGGTGTTGATCATTTTCAGAAAAAAATGTTGTTATGGTTTAAATTCGAGGTCGGTGGTTGTAAGGAATGAGAGAGGATATAAGAAAATTTTATATATATATATATATATAACTTGAGACGTGGTCATTGTCGTCTAGACCAGTTAGGTGAAAAATTAAATTTCCACCTTTTGTTGGGTACTTCGACAAAATTTAAGCAAAGAGGACTTTTTATACTTTTTTAAGTCTCTCTAGCTTTCAATGGACTTTGCCATCATCATCAGGAGAGTAGTATGTGAGGATGTTGCTAATTGTTGTTTACGTATAGGATGAGGGAAACGTCCAGTAACATGGTGACAGCTGGATAGATGGTACAATGGTCAAAATTATATAAAATATGACACAGGTGCAATCATCAAGTGGCTTCACGATGTAATGCTCTAATATTTTTTAAATAATTTTTAATCTGTTTTTAACTTGTTCTTGTCATATTTTATATAATTTTGACCATTGCAACATCTATCCAGCTCTCACCATGTTACTGGACGTTTCCCTCATCCTATACGTAAACACCAATTAGCAACATCCTCACATACTACTCTCCTGATGATGATGGCAAAGTCCATTGAAAGCTAGAGAGAATTAAAAAAGTATAAAAAGTCCTCTTTGCTTAAATTTTGTCGAAGTACCCAACAAAAGGCGGAAGCTTTAATTTTTCACCTAAATATATATATATATATATTATATATATATATATATATATCTATTTATATTTTTATATTTATACGTCCCCAATTCCGGTAATTCTATGCACTTATTAGCAATATTTAATGCATCATATACAGTTGTTCGATTTTTCACAATAGTCATCATTGGATTGCATGGTGAGCTTGCGCTAGTTATTTGATTATCTCTCGTTGTCATCTCTTTATTGACAGTTGTAGCATTATGAAAATAATTGGCTAATAAGTTCACATCGCATTTATTCAAAAAGAGCCACTCTTTCTACAGAATCTGGGCAAAACTGTAGATAAAAATATACAGAGTATATGTAAAAATATGCCATATCCTGGCCACTGGTATTCTTCTGGGTCCAGCATAAAATCGTTGATCAAGATGAAACTGGCACTGATCAGACATCCAAAGCTTGCCATCATTGTGATAAAGATTATAAGTATACAGAGGAATGGAGTACAGTACCCACTGGTGTTGTCTAGACCACTGTCGTTCAAGTAGTTAGTGGGTATTGCATTCATCAAGATCTAGAAGTAAGACACCTTGAGTTCAAAGTTTAATATAACATGCGAACTTTGATTCAGAGATGAGAGTGAATATTCAAAGTCCAAAATTTCAATTAAATACACTCAAGATATCCGAGCGTGTAAAAATTGACCTAGATACTATACCGGGTGTTTCAAATCCGTCTCTCACCATTGGGATTTTGGGAACGGTAAGAGATACGAATTCGGTTAAATAAGAGCAAAGTTGCGAATTTACGTAAGTAAGAAAGTTTTGGAATTCCCACAAAGTCCGTAGTTGGACAAAAGTAACCGAATTATCTCATTTTATTTTTCCTGACTTTATTTGAAATGCAATTTCAAAAAGGTATATTTACTCTGCCAATTTTTCTCCTCTACAAGATGGCGTCATTGAAATTTAAATATGACGTGTCTGCCCTTATCTTCAGCCATAAACTTTTTCTTATAGACGCCATATTGGATTTTCACATAGAGTTTTTAGTTCTTATTCCAAAAATTTAATTACTAAAGGAACAGTATTTCCTATTTTCGATTGTTATTTGTCTCATAATATCATCAGCCAAGCATTTCTTTGGCTTTTATGAACATTGGCATAGGTGAACAGCCCCTATTTCCGACTTTAATGTGTACATATGATGACATGGATAGATATTATCGAACTTACTATAAAAGTAATCTTCATAGCGATGGACTTGACTTGAAATATAGAATACGTTAACGAAAAAACTTTTCCATATTATTTAAGAGTAGAATTTAAAACAGTATTTTTATGTAACATTGTAGTGTAAGTAAAAGCCTCGGCGATGTTACAATTCCCTAAACACGTTTCAATTCTGCCATATCTACGCCAATGCGCACATCTTGCATTCAAATAGTATTAGTACAGGCTAGATAAAAAAAGGTGGAAAAAGGTTTAGCAGATATCTGAAAGTTTTAAATTACAAATACATAAAAAGATACAGCCAGATATGCATTGTTTTTTATAAAAAATGGGAATAGCTCAAAATTCAGTATTTTGATTGTATAATTTTCAAATTGCATTTTAATTTTGTTTTTTTAAGAATTATAATTGACAAACAATTAATCCAAATACGGGGCTTTTTAGCAATATTGAATAAATGTTTATAACTATTTCAAAATAATTGCAAATGGTCAAAAATCAACAAGAATGAGCGCATCATTGTTGTCAATAAGTCTGCTAAATTTCAGCCGGATTGGTTTAATAGTTTAGGTAAAAAGCTAATTGTTTACTCAGAGACGAATTATTCAAACAACTGTTGTTGACCAAGATATGGTCCTAGAACATTTTACAAAAGTGAAATGGATCCCTAAAGGTTTAAACTTCAAGAAATTATGGAAAAACTAATCACCTATTTCAAAATTCTTGTTAAAAATGATGTTAAAAAATAGCCATTTTTATAGTTATAAACATTTACAATAACCCCGTTATTTTTCAATATAATTTACTTTAACAAGTTAATCTGGATATGTGGTTAAAACACTTATATTTAAAGGAAAACCTTCAACGGGTATATTACCAGTTACATGGTTAGGCAATAAATTTGATCCAACCATGTACGGGTGGAGGCAAAGCGACAACGGTTTCGAACTGATATATACTATGGAGAGACGTCACGATCAAACAAATTTCCTGCAAATGTACTACTGCTTGTCAAACGAGTAGGGGTATTTGCTAAAAACATGGGTTAAATTTCATACCGTGTATAAATTGTAATGATGGTGATGATGACAAAAAATGCTTCAACCTTGCTGTAATTAGAATTGACGACGATGTTGAGCAGACTGAGAAAATCCACGACTTATTTGAACAAATGAGTTATACAAAAATATTGAAAAAGAAGTAGAGCGTATAAATAAAAGATTTAGAACGGAGAATCAAGATTAATTAAATAATAACATGTAATAAAATATACATTATATATAATATATAAATATAATATACAAATAATGCAAATAAAATAAATATAAATGAAAGACAAACGTGAATCAATATTTTTTACAATTTATTAGAGTATCTATATTTTGCTAAGAGTATACCAATTCATTGAATTGTGAATTGTTCAAACAATTTTGTTGTAAAAAATAAATTATTTTATTAGAGTGAGTGTAAAGGTAAATGATTAATTGTTAATTTATTACTATTTAATTTTGAAGAATATAACGTGTTAAGTTTTCCGGGATTTTCCGATTTACCGAGAAAATGAAAATGTCGTTAAATTAAAATAAAGAAGGTTCTAGAAATTAATTTGAAAATTATACAATCAAAATACTGAATTTTGAGGTTTTCCCATTGTTTATAAAAAACAACGCATATCTGGCTGTATCTATCTTTTTATATATTTGTCATTAGAAAAACCCCCCTTTCATTTAAAACTTCCAGATGTATGCTAAGCTTTTTTACACGAGATTTTTTCTCTGTAACTAAATCGGCAAGTTATTTGGAAGTCCTTCAAACGCGCTTCTCTGTCTCTGTGATTTTTAAGGTAAGCTATGGAACTATTAGTTTTTTAAAATAACAAAGGTTTGTCAATGTTAAACGTATGACATTATTTTTTTTTGGACTCAGAACTAAAAACTCCATTAAACTACTCACAAATTCGTTACGACATCTATACGGATAAATAAAACTGATGACTGACGACAAGAGACGAAACGTCGTACCAAAATTCTAATTATGCCATATTGTAGATGACTAAAAAAGGCAATGTTAATGTAATTTTTATTTTTAGAATAATTCGGTTTTATTTCATATTTCCGGTAATACTCGGGTTTGGGAATAATTTTAAGTGCCATTTATTAGTTATCTAACATAAATGCCTAACTTTGGCACTATTTAACCGACTTCGTATGTAAGACCGTTTCCCAGATCCCCAAGGTGAGAATCGACTTTGAAACACATATGCTGCATATTTAAAGTCCTTATTTTCGTGAACAGTAAAGGGCATATCTGCTTGATGCAATTTTTTATTGTGGTCGTTAATAAGCCACAAGTTTATAGTTTCATCAACTATATAAGCCCCCCACTTGTCCTGTTTTTGCTTCCTTTGTCATATGTCATCTGTGTAATAATAATAATTATGCTTATTGGAGTATACACTATACATAACAAATTCAAAATATATAATACACCAAAAGGCTGATGATTGGCAATGCCGATTTTCACCTTAGCCTACGAAACTACAGCTGTGAACATTATTAGCATATTATGGGCCATAAAGATGCGTTTAACTATACCTGTACATAACTTTATATTACAGAGAAACTATAAGATGATCGATTACGCTTAGCTGGGTGTAGTGTCAATGACTTATAATTTCATTTTCTAAATTCATTTTTAAACTCCTAGCTAGACCATGCTAAGAAACATTTTGGTTAATCATTAAGAATAGAGATGGAGCGATATGGACATTTTAAACCATTTTCTCTGTGTATACCTCTGTGACAGAACCTAATTCAACATTTTTAAAGAATTTGGATTTTCTGCCTCACTTCCTCTATTAGAAAATTGTAATAAACCTAATCTAGGTATGTACGTATTGATGAATTAGCAAGTCTTGTTTTAGTATCAGTTGTAAATAAAATCTTGTATCTCCAGAGAGATTTATAAATGTATTTAAAATAAGATGTTTGCTTATAACATAAATATACTTTTTACTTTACCATGGCGATTGTTGCAATAACCCCTGGCAAATAGTATAGCTTCTGTTTACTCATAGTGGTAGTATGTTGGGTAGAGAGGTCAATCATTGTCCACCATCCAAAGAAAAATAGAAATCCAGCTAAGCCGCTGACTAGGTAGTTAAACGATTTTGCATCTATGTTTCTTATGTATGAGCAAGGAACTTTAGAATCGTAATACATGATCGAAGGTTCAAATATGATAGCTTCTGTCGGCACTACTTCATCTGATTGTGGGATTGCTGGTTCAGAAAGTATTGCCATCGGACTTGGGGCGCAATGTCATACTGACATAAGCACGAAACGTCGCTTTTGATATAATGTTTGGGCAACCTTTTTTCTTATATTTTACCTCAAGTAATCTAACGTGAATTTTTTAGATAGCTAAACATATTCCACTCTATTTGTTTCTTGTGATTTTGTGAACTTTGTGCTTTCCTACGGTTGAATGACCTACAAACGAGATTTTATACTCTGGTACGGAGAAGTCTCTTATTATTGTAAACGTAAGTATTTTTTCATGGTACTTATAACCATTTCACAGATATTTGATGGATTACCTGCAGTAGAAACGGCCTTTCATTTTTTTGAACACCTGATGCATTTGTGAAAAGAATACCGATTTTATAATGATCTCCCTCCGCGCTAATAAAACCATAAAAGTTGCAATCAACCACAACTTATTTAAGCCTTGTGTCAGTTGTGTTAAAGGCACAGGTCAAAGGGGTACCAGGAAGTGATATCTAGAATGGATATGTTTTCATTTTGCCAGCCAGATTTCCGCGATTCGGATTGCCATTGATTTCATGAGATGATGCAAATAGTAGACGTGACGCATGGTGAAGGTCGATCCATGACTGCTATGCTTATTAGGCGACGTAGTTCAGCATAATGTTTTTAGCCTGTTTACACCGAGGATATAATGTAAACATGGCCACTGTGAACTAGGTGACAACTTGAAGTACACAAAAATTGCTCAAACTAAAATCCATATGAGTGGCCCTGAAGTAAGCTGCCGCTTCCTAACCACTGTAGAATACGAAATAACCATTGATGGTCTCTAAAGTATCAAGGTACCCTGAAGTGACATTTGTGAATGTCACTCCCAAGTATCACTGTAGTTTTCCGGATTCCAAATAATTATAATAATGAATGAGCTTAAAGAGGTGGAAAAGGATGAGTGCGCTGTTTATGTCAGGCATGCTTGGAAAACATACAAAAAACCCAATTATATTTTCTCTGACTTGCATATGACAATGATAAAGGGAACCATGTAAGTACTATGTAAAATTTTAAAGATATTTGAGCCTTCATTGCAATTATGAAGCTCAGTGTGACTAAAACTTTTTTGAATTAATGTAAGTAATGCATTCTGTAGGATTTCCTGCTCTTGGTCAACAACCATTATGGTCCTGATGCTTGTGTCACTTTGTTGTTTTTCCTACGGGTACTAACTGGAACCCTGTTTGTTGGTTTTTATAAATTTAGATCTGTCGTGATCAAGTACTCCGTACTCAGAATATCATCATTCTCCAAGGAAAGCTTTGGACATGATTCGTAGGTACATCTTTCATTTTTGCTTGTATTACGTTATCCATTATTTTGTCGAAAACTTGGATAAGATTTAGCAACTATTTTTACGTGAAACATGGAAACCTAGGTCTATAAGATTCTGTATATCAAAAACTTCTAAAACTTCCATAATGAGGAAGTTTCCAACTTTTAGAAATATACTCAGCATAATAGTCTAAACAAAGTACTGCACTGGAAATTTTTTTAATGTCTTAAAAGATGACAAAGCTTTGATACCCAGAAGTTTCTTATTTGGAGAACCGTCTCGTTAAATAATGGGAGTGCAATGGTGTTTCTTGACAAATAAAGGTAATGCTTGGTAAATCTTGATCCCATTAGTCCCCATAAGTTCATTATTAAAAAAAAATAGAATTTTTAAAATTCAAAATTTGGAAACATTCCGATCAAGTTCTGCATTTTTTTATATCTAAGTTGGTCAGAGCGCAGTCATCATTCAGTAAAATGCGGTGGCAGCTAAAAAATAGAAGCTTTCTCACACCAAGCCACCTGGCCTATAAATTGTCTCTATATTAGAGTATTGTTTTGATGTGCAACTTATTCTGAGGAATCATTTTTTTGGGGGCGAAAATGAATTTATAAATATATTTCTTTAGCTGCCACCCCTTTAGAAGCTTTCTCACGCCATGACACCTAGTCTCTATAACGCAGTATTTTTTTGAGCTACAACTGATTTTGAGGAATCACTTCCTTCGGGGTGAAAATGAATATAAAAATATATATTTTTATCTATCACCCCTTTAGAGATCTTCTTAGTATATGCTATTTAGCTCATTAATTACTTTCAATATCAGGTATACAATAATCCGTAAGTGAAAATTCGAAGAAAGGTTTTGGGTTAAGTCTTGTTCCTACGAATTATTTAATTGGGGTGAAAAATGATTTTTATTATAGGGGTGCTTATTCTCGTGCACTTATATTTATTGATGCGAGCTGTTAGCTGTATCCTTCACAATCAGAGTCTGGTAGAGGATGTCGACGCCACTGGTCATTCGGGTATCTTCGGCAAATTGTCTGCTAAATTTTGTCTGCCAATTTCACACCGGTGTTTGTTTCGACGGCTTTGTGCGGATATACTTCAAAGTAGGTTATCCCAATCCTGTGTTAATCCTGAGTTCCTGACCGCTAATTTCGAAGTAGCCCTCTGTCCAAGATCTTGATGTTATCAGTTTTGGTTTGACTTTATTTTTGTATTTTTGTAATATAGAAAAATATGTAAAGTTAAATAATCATATACTGGGGCAGCATATTTAATATATCAATGTAATAAACCTTATAGCACCTTGAAAGTAATGAAAAGATAGAAGAAACAGTGAAAATAAATTAAATGGTACCTCAATTAACTTTAAAACCTATACACCACTGGCATGAGTTTTGCAGGTAGTTGTGCGGCGTAAATCGGGCTGTCCTGTCACTTGTTTTATTACTCCATAGGTTCTTTGGATAAATTATAGTAGTATAAAGTACATTCGAAAATGCAGAAATACTTCACTTTGGCTCAATATGATAACCTTTTGCCTTGACTATAGCATTGACACGGTCCAAAAACGAATCACAAGCTGCTCGAATGTGACTTGACGATATTTTGGCCCACTCACGGACAATGGCTTTGTTCAGTGCCTCGAGTTTGGTGTATTTCCTAGCTCGGACCTTGCTCTCCAAAATGGCTCAGATAGTCCATTGAATTCGCATCGGATGAATTCGAGAGTCACTGTGTGGTCAAAATGAAGTTCGGAAGATTGTCTTTCAGCCATTCTTGGTTCATTCAAATAGCTAGCCTCAACTGAACAGTCAAAATACGGCAGCGCGCGCCGAACGAGACCTACCTCGTGTAAAAACATTGCTCTTCTCAGGCGAGCGCCGGATCATGTGAAAAGGGCGTGTATTCCATACTTTGGTACTTAGCAGGACTCCACTGTCTGGCCGAATCAAACCACATAATGTTCTATTTTTTGTTAATTGTAACAATTACCTATTTCGGGTACACCGGTACTCCTACTAACTAATCGTTTGGTGCGTTTCTCATAGATATGCGCTTTTGGGAGCTTCGGGCTGTGGGAAGACATCTCTTCTGTCTTGCATAGTAGGAATACGTAAACTTGATTCTGGGGAAGTATGGGTGTTAGGTGGTAGACCTGGCAGCCGCCGTTCTGGTGTGCCAGGTAATAGAGTCGGGTAAGTAGTGTACCTACATTTTTCATTACACTCCCACTGAAAGCGTTACGGAATCATATATTAAGTTATACAGGGAGTGCTGTTTTAACCTCTCCACCTAAATGAAAAAAATGACGGTAACCTTGTTCGTGACCTTCACCAGGACTTTTAAAAACATTTCAAGGTCAATCAAGTATTTTCAAAAAGAGCTCTATTTTTTCACACCTGTATTGGAAAGAGGAGAATATTTTACGTCTGAATATGATGTTGACTATGTTCATGACCTTTAAGGCTATTCCAGTCGCAAGGTCGTGGAAAACACAATTTGGTCTAGGTAAATTGTTCTATAGCACAGTTGTGACGTGTGTGGGTGTCATCCAAAAGTGACCCTTGCCTATGACCTTGATCATAATATTCAAGGTCAAGTCTAAATTTTCAAAAGATAACCCTGATTATTCTCTCGTAATTGGAGAAACGTAAACTGTTACGCCTGAATGTGACATTGACTTCAAATTCAAGGTCTTGCTAATATTAAATGTTATGAGTAAGGCCTTTGAATTTTATGGTAAAAAGTGCAGAGAGCAAGAATTGTTTCTTATAAACATGTGAAACTTTGACGTGAGCTTGAAAGGGACGGTCGAGGTCATGGACAATATCACCTTTTCCACTCCACAAAGCTTAAATTGTGCTGACGAACATTTCTGCTATAACAATTTGCTTTCAATGCCTTGACTTGACATTAAAGTTGTCTTGAAGGTCATGTTGATGGTTAGGTGGGGAGATTAAAACGCGACACCCTGCATAATAATCATAAAGGTTATTGTCTTGTATATAGTTAGACATAAGCAAGAGAAAGTCGTATTTGAATTTTGGAGAAAAAAATTTGCGGTATCACTTGATTCCGCTAATAATGTGTTGGTCCACCTCGATCTTTAGTCATCGGGGCATGCTTCTGAGGGGCTGTTTTGTGTCTTCCTGAAGTATCTAACCCCAAGCTAGGCTGTACCTGGTTCCAAGGAGCTGCTGAATGTGATGAATGAAGATGTCACTCTACTTCCCATCATATCCCACACATGTCTAACGGCCTAAAGGTCTTGAGATCTGGGAGGGCAAGGAAGGAGGCTAAGAGGTTAAGTTATCCTAATTCACCGAATATATAAAGAATTTTGGTGTATAGTTTGATGAAAAGTTGAAATTTCGAGATCGCTAGAAATTGTTTTCAGAATTAAGGCTTTTATATACGAGCAAAGTTATAATGAAAAAGTTCATCAAAAAAATTCTACGTGTAAGACTTGTAAGTTCGCAAATTGTTTGCTGTTAATCATTGTGCTATCCTTGTCTAGATGCAAACACTGCCAAGCGCTTGCAAAAGTCCAACAGTATTGTTGTCGCCTGGTGAATACTATATATATATATATATATATTATATGGCCATAGTAACTAGGCAGTTATTATACAATGTTGCACCAGACGCTGTGTCAGCATATGATAACAACTTCTCGCTAATCCGTTGCTAGAATCGTGCCTTTGCTGTTTTCTACTAATTCTTAGTCAGCTTTCCGAATGTATAAATAGGCCTCGCGGCCATATCCTGTTCTTCAGTACCCGGCTAGGCACCGTAACAGTCACTTATATAAACTTGTGTTCAATACCCGGTTAGACTCCGTAAATGTCACATTTGTAAACCTTGGTATTTTATATGGACTGAAGCTTCAGTCCTCAAATAAAATTTTTTAAAAAGTTATTTCTAAATATAATGATTTAAGATATATATAACAAAAAGTAGGAAAATAATTGGCAAAATCCGCAAAAAGGAGGAAAGTGGATTCGAGCAGAAAATAGGATAGGTAACCCGAGCGATACGTATTTCTGCTGGTTCGAAATGAATGCACATATGAAACTACAAAAGTAGATACACATGCCCACACATGCGGATGCGGGTGTAACCTGAGGAAACGAAGATGGAGAGGGAAAAAAAACGACACACGAAGTCCACAACAAGAGCCAACCTACACATTGTAGTATAAAACGGCTAGAAGACCTCGAATTTTCAAGGAGACATCTAACCACAACCGCGCGGCCGGTTATAGCCACTTGCTGTGGTACTTCAAGCCCAAAGGATCTACAAAGAGAAAATGATCATGCGGAGAAAGGTATATAATAAAAAGTAGGAAAATAATGGGCAAAATCCGCAAAAAGGAGGAAAGTGGATTCGAGCAGAAAATAGGATAGGTAACTGGTTGTTACGGAGGTAAGTAGTTGCAATGGCGTAGAAAGAGATAAATAGTCACGCCATGATCGGCAAGCTCGCCGTGCGAGCCAGTGACGCCAATGTTATTGTGAGAGGAGTCGGTGCATGCTGCCATAAAATTTGCAGGTTAGTAACATTTTCCATTTTTGGTGATATTGGTCTAGATCTGATTTCTATACAATCGAAAATGTGCTTGTTGTGTTAGTTACGCCCTAATTAATTCCTTTTCCGATGAATCTATGTCTTTACAGTTATATTTAATTGCTTTTTTGTAGAAGCGTCAGTTTTGGGGTTGGGGCTACAAGTGACATTTGCTCGGGGCAGGTTGTGATTTTGTCACTACCTGCCGGATTTTTGCCGACAGATATAATTTAAGCTTTAATATTTGTTGCAAAAGAACAAGGTATACCTATGGAATCTGTCACAGTTGAGTACCTGCAGAATAGACAAGTATTTAATCCCGAACAAGATGACGCTTTGGTGACTTACTTGATGAAAGGCTTTCAGATTTAATATGGATTGACACCAAAAGATGTCAGAAAACTAGCACTTCATTGTGCAGTTAAGTTTGATATAGCTAATAAAGAAGTTGGAGTTGATTGGCTGACAGCTTTTCTAAAACGTAATCCCTCTTTAGCTATACGATCACAGGAGGCTACTAGTTTGAGCAGAGCCACGTCGTTTACCAAAACAAATGTTGAAAAGAAATTTTCAAAATTAGCTTCCGTGTTAGATAAATATAAATTTACTTCTTCATGGATATGGAATGTCGATGAAACATATATCACAACGGTACAGAAACCTAGAAAAGTTTTGGCCCCAAAAGGATCTAAACAAATTGGTTCCATAACATCAGCTGCATGTCACTCTCTGCATAGCAAATGCATCGGGAACTTTATCTTCCCACGAATTAAACATAGAGATCATTTTATTCGCCATGGACCTTCAGACTGCATTGGCGCATGGAACTCAAGTGGCTGGATGACTGGGATAGAATTGAGACAATTTATGAGACATTTCATTAATCATGTAAAACCGTCTCCATCCGATCCAGTGCTCTTACTCGTGGACAATCATTCTTCGCACTTGGATATTCAAGTCATCGAAATAGCCAAAGAAAACAATGTGGTGCTGCTGTCTTTACCACCACAGTGCTCTCATACACTCCTGCCCATGGATGTGGGGGTTTATGGGCCGTTCAAAATTTACTGCGTCAGTCAACAAGATGCTTGGTTAAGAAGCAATCCGGGGAAGACTATGACTATTCACGATATACCACCTCCAGTGACCAAAACTTTTCCCTTGGCATTAAACCCAACCAATATCATCAACGGGCTTAAAAAGACTGGTATTGCACCATTTAATAAACACATTTTCCAGGATTCTGTAACCGACAGACCATATGTGAAACGGCTAACGCAAACATCCTAAATACTCCTGTTAGAATACAGAACGTGATGGCTGAAACTCAAGCTCCGCCTTCTTCCCATTTTTTTCTACAGAGTGGCACAGTAGGATCCGAAAACTCCAACCCAGCTGCTGGTTGCAGCAAACGTAATATGATGCACAATTAAAATACTTTTTCTCCTGAGATTGATCGGCCTTAATCAAAAGCTGTAGCGAGAACAACCAAAATAACACGAAAAACTCGCAAATCAGCTGTATTAACTGACACACCGAAAAAAAGCTTTGGAACTGGAACAGAGCAAGAAAAAGGAATACATTAAAGAACGGAAAATTAACGAAAGGAGGAAAGGCAAAGTCAAGCACAAGAAAGAATAATGAACAAGAAAATACCAGTAAGAAAACTAAGACAAACAAAGAAACAGGGAAGATTTTTGTAAAGAGGAAGTTATTATATGACACTGACGGAGATGAAGAAAGTGGAGATGATGGATATTTTTGTCTGATACGTTGTGACCCTTTTGATTCAAAGAAAGCTGGACAACAATGGGTAAAGTGTGAACTTTGTAAAAAATGGTCACATGTGAAACACGTAAGGGGAAATATTGCCCAATACGTTTGTTTGAATTGTGAAAGTGATTGTTCAGACTGTCCTTCCTTTTCCTTATCTGTTTTTTCTAAATAAAAGGTTTATAATCTTATTAATATAGGTCGGAAATTATTGGTATTACAAGGTGTAAGACTAAAAATATAAGACCACTTTGTTAGACTAGTTATGATTTTGCGTTAAGTTAGAAGGATGCTATTATTTTGTTTAGATGAGGCCACAGGCTGACCTGAGACGACATAATTAAATGCCATTTACATCAAGGAAAGAAAGTGATCATGATACTTATTCCTAATAAAAAGCAGTTTATTAAGTATGATTTTTATTGTAACATTTCCACGTTCGTTCAACATAGAATAGCATTACTCACTAGGTCTTTCACATTTAATGCAGTATCCATGTAAAATTCTGTACCAAACCAATTTAAAGCTTAAATTTAAATGAACTTTAAAATATCGCCTTTTGCTATAGTAATATAATTATTTGTCTTCTCAATACTTTTATTGTTATCATAGCAACTTTTTAGTAATTAAAATTCGTAGTGACTGTCACTATTTGAAGGTAAAGTGGAAGATTATCCGTGGATAAACTTCGGTCATTTATAACTTATTGTTAGTTATAAGCAAAGACGTTAATTTATATTATTACTAGATACCTCAAGAAGACATAAATCACCTCCTCAGTAACATTGCAATACCAAAACCAAAACTGCTTTCACTTCAAATTACGACTTCCTCTTGTATTGCTGATATGGTTTGCACCAGGTATTCTATTTTCTCCGTCACTGAGTATAGTTAGGTCAATATATCATTATTCTAGTGATTTATTTTGTAGGTACATGCCACAAGAATTGGCTTTATATGGTGAGTTTTCTATAAACGAAACCATTTTGTACTTTGGATGGATTTATGGTTTGAAAACAAAAGATATTAAAGAAAGAGTAAGATTCTTGGTTGATCTTCTCGACTTGCCTCCTGGTAAACGGCTTGTAAAAAATCTCAGGTATGTCTTATTCTAACGGACATTGGTAAATTCCGGAACCATAAAAGCTTTGAACAATCTAGCACCTTGGACTACAAAAGCAACTAACCTGCTCTTCTCCGTGATATGATTGTGTAATAATAGAATAATTTTCTTGCTTTTAGAGTACTTTTATGCCAGAATGTAAAATGTGATCAGTTTGGTCAACCATGAATGTCTTATTACAAGTTCATACTTATCAGTATAGGGAATATATTGATTAGATAATATTAACATTTAATTAATACTGTCACTAAGAACTAATAATGTAGGGCATTGTGATTGTCCAGCATCTGAAGAGCTTTTGCTTTGGAATGTTGAACTAGTCATTCTTCGGGCCTGGTCGCTTCTTTCTTCAATGCGTCGATAGCCATAGAGATATTTTTATCGTCAACATACCAAGTGGCATTATCCATTTTTCTTATTTTGGAATATTTAAATAATTCGATGTTCGAATTCTTAGAACATCCCTATAGTTGTCAACCGTGGAGCAAATGAATGGATGATGAGTGTAATATTTTATGAAACGTAGTTGTGAATAGTTCCTCTATTTTATGTTATTAAACTATATCTGTAGTGGAGGTCAGCAACGTAGAGTATCACTTGCAGTCGCAGTTTTGCACCAACCAGAGCTGCTGATCTTAGATGAACCTACAGTTGGTGTCGATCCAATATTGAGGGCTAACATATGGAACTATATGGTTCGTGAGGCAAAAGAGAAGAAACAGAGTATCATTATCACAACTCACTATATCGACGAGGCCCGACAGGCTCAAACGGTAGGCTTGTGGTTATTTAAGAGTTCAAATGGTGAATTTTGAGTATTTTATGGTTCAAAATTATGCTAAATTGATGACTGTAAGGTCGCTTTCAGATCGGCATGATGCGAAGTGGGGAGATTTTAGCAGAAAATGCTCCAGAGCAGCTCCTGAAAATGTATGGTTGTACTAGTCTGGAGGAAGTCTTCCTGAACTTGTCACAACAACAGGAAATTGCGTTAAAGGCAGATACACCAACAAAGTCTGTCGAGAAACAGTTTAAAGTCAGACACGAGAAGAAATCAGAAGGTCTTGGCGAACTGGATGAGAAGGTAGAGGTTTTTGAAAGTATCGCAAAGCAGCCTTTGAATAGAGTGGCCATTCGAGCTATTTTACTTTTTAGACTATTTGAACTTAACGTTTTCGAGCGGCAACCTCGATTTTATGCCCCAATGCCTCGTTTTTCTGAATTGTTAGGATATCGTTTATCCTTGGCTTCCTATAGAAGACAGACGAATGGGTCCAAATTGCGGAAAATTAACATCTGAATGTCGGCTGATCGTTTCGTTTTCGTAAATGGTACCCAAAAGTGTTATTTTTAAGTTGGCTTTGTGACAAGTTGAGCCGTCCTGTTGAAATGAAACGTCATGCAGATTATTCAGCAGCTTCTTGCTCATTTTCAAGGAAAAAATGTCTAATGACACCGCCAGACAAAAAAAACCTAGAAAAGTCACTTAGTGGATGCGTTGGCTTCTTCCTGACTTTCTGATCCAAAATGCGGTACTATTTTGTTGATTCACCTAGCCTTCAAGGTATGTAGCCGACCTCCCACGAGCAGGTCGACCACGTTGCGCCATGACACAAGAAAAAATTGAGCACGTGGACGCCAGCATAGAAGACGATGCGGAAACATCCATCAGGCGATGCTGTACGGAGCTAGGGCTCTCTCGTTCCAGTCCCCATAGAATTTTAAAGCAGTTACGCATGTTTGCCTACAGAATTCAGCTTGTCCATCAATTACGTCGCATAGATCTTAGACAACAAATTGAAGTTGCTATTTGTTTTCAACAGCTGTGTAGAGAAGAAAATAATTTTCTAAACCGATTAATTATGAGTGACGAAGCACGCTCCCAACTGAATGGTTTTGTTAACAATCAGAATTGTAGGTTTTGGGGAACACAAAATCCAAGAGTGCTTCATGAGCGAGAATTCCATCCAGTAAAGTGTACAGTTTGGTGTGGAGTTATTAGCCAAAGCATCACTGGACCTTTCTTTTTCGAAGATGCAGATGGATATGCTGAGACCATTACCGGACAACGATACAGAGACATGGTCCAAAATTTCTTACGTCCCGCTATAGAAAACATGCCACAGATGTGGTTTCACAAAGATGGTGCCACTGCCCACACAGCCAGGACAGCAATGGAGCTTATAAGGGAAATTTTTGGCCATCGAATAATTTCAAGAAACTCACCTTACACTTTCGACAGATTTAACAGCCCCAGACTTTTTTCTGTGGGGGTATCTCAAGCTCAAGGCGGAAAGAGTTTATGCAAATAAACCAAGAACCATTGAGCAGCAAAAGGAGAATATCGGAAATGAAATATGACTTTTAAATGATGACATTTTAACAGCTGGCATGCAAAATTTACTAAAAAGAGCAAGAATGTGTCTAGGCGAAAAGGGAATGCATTTGGAGAATATAATTTTTAGTACCTAGGTTAAAAATCAATAAAATACTCCTTCCTCTTATTAAAACAGTTTGTAAAAATAAAATGTATTTAAAGAGTTATAAGCATTTTAAATCAGCTAGTGACTTTTGGGACACCCTGTACATTAACGGGGTGCACCATCGCGAAGGTGAGGCTGGCAGTTGTGTATGATAGGCTATATCTCGCGCGTTAATACGTATTACTCTAAAAATTAAAGAATGGGGGGTGGGCGTCTGTAGCGCAAATGGCTATATGGCACTTGAAGATCAGGGAGGGGGGGGGGGGAGTGTGTTGGAATATCGGCGATTCAACGTTGAATGGCAGTGAGGTATCGATGAACTGAAAAAACATGTTCGAAATTATTTTGAACTACGATACTTCGATGGAGGAGGGGTCAGGACCCCCTGGGACCGCCACTGACCTTGTATATGCCTCTTCCACAACTGATCTAGAGATTATGTCTACAATAGCTCTGAGGCAACAATGCACATTACCATTGCTACCAGACACTATTTGATTTTCTTCTTAATCAATCAATTGAAATTAATTCAAAATATTCTTTTCAACAGAGATATGGGTGCTGTAACAGAATGTGCAACAGTTTGACATACTGTATCAGCTGCGTTAGATTACGAGCCCTTTTATATAAGAATAGTATTCGTTTGGTACGAAACCTGCCAGTACTTCTGTTCATCTTTGCCCTGCCTGTCATACAAGTCATCTTATTTTGCGTTTGTATTGGAAATGATCCAAAGGACTTGACTTTAGCTGTGGTCAATAAGGAGGTTAACTACACGAATTCTAGCTACCTGTACTGCCCGTATGATTTTGAATGCACTGTAAGTATCTTAAGTCGTCTAAGTCAGCTTGATGGGAACTCCAAATGCTTACAAATAAAGCGAAATTAAAGACATGACTGAATACACCGTCTGACTTAAAGTCACCCCAAAAAGTATGGATATATCAAAATATCTCGAAAAACACGTTTCCTAGATTGGGATGTTGTTAAACAAAGGTGTGAGGTTTGAGCGTCACCTTAACCAAGGTTATTTGAAGGTCAAGATAGTTCTCTTAAATGAGTCCCTATTTTTGGTACCGGGAATAAAAAGAGCAAAAAAATGTATGTCCAAGTATTTCTATAACCCTGCCTATATGACCATCAAGGTCATTTGAGGATCAAATAGATGTTCAACGGGCAACTTCTATTTTCAATTCCTGAATTCCAAAATACGGACAATTTTAAGCTCAAGTATGTATATCGTTACCAATGATCCTAATTATGACTTTCACTGTCATTTTGAGATCAGATAAATTTTCAAATAACTACTCACTTTCTGTTGAGAATATAAAGAAGCGAAACATTTAAATTATCTTTGTATTAACATGTTGGATAAAATGCTCATTGCCAAAGTATCTACTGCATTACTTTGAATATTTAATTTAATTTATATTCCCGAAAACAATCGTCTTCACACTAATGCAAATTACAATGACCTATACTTTACACTACCTGAACGCGAGTGGGGTCGCGGGCTTAGCCTAGTGCCAAATAAAATCGAAAACAAAGATTCAAGCGATTTCACGAATTCTGTAAGTTGCCTAGTTTTCGAGCATTTTGGCATGACTGCGAACAGGTATCTTGATCGTCCTAAATAAAATGTCATAGCGGACGCTAAACTATACCATTGTCGGAATAACGGTCGTTGTGCCATAGGTCCATAGGTCGCATTCACAACGAGTAGGTGAGGTGTGAGCTAGCGACTAGCGAGTACACAAATGACATGAATGTAAAAAACTTAAAAAAACTGACAAAATGTTATCTTGCAGACTATGTAGTTTTTAGTGTGCAAATAGTTCATTCCGCCCATGCTACAAGTGAGCATGAAGTCAACGACAGCTGGTTCCAAGTAGACTTCTTGTAGAAAAACCTACATTGTCCCAAAAAAAAAAGTATGAAATGTCAAAAAAACCGATAAAATATCACTTTGCAAGATACGTAATACAGTGCCGATCGCTATTATGGCGATTATTTTATTTAATCCTCACCTGAAAAAAAAAAGAAACGTGACATCAAGCTGTTTGGAGTCACAGTGAATGCCGACGTTTACGCGATTGTGGTTTATATAATTTGTACTATAGGAAGCCCAATTACCAGAAAGACCAACGTTAACGTAATGCTAAAAGCTGGTCCAAGAACTATCTTCGTTTTCGTTTTCGCTCGGAATAATGTCCTGATTCGTTTTTTGCATAACCTTTTGCGTCAAGAATTGCTAACACAAATTTCAAAAATGTTCATTCTGGACAAAATGTTCAGGTTTTTTGGCTCATTCTAAATAAAAAGGGTTGTTATGAACTTTTCTCTAAAGTTGATAGTTTTCGTGATACAGTTCAATATTTGAAAAATATGCCACAAAAACCATTACGCAATAATATAATATTCTTCTATAATGTCCGTTAACAAAATTCCCAATAATTTTTGAGATAATATTATTACCATAAGCTTTTGTTTTATTTCTCACGCCTCTGGAGTATTGTAATCGCAAAAAATCGAAAATAGATTATTGTCTGTTTGGATTTTATTTGCTTATACTTCTGAACATTAACAGCCATTTGCATAATAGTCGCAAGAGAAGGTAGTTCAAACACAAAGATGCTATTTACAAATATGTAAAAATATTCTACTGCAGATAAGAAAGTAAAAAACAGACAAAAGAGAAATATATCCAATGGAGAAGTTTCATGATATTCAGAATCGCATAAGTAATAACTTACCAGCAAAAATTATTGAAATCGGGCAATAAATGACAGAAAAATTGATACTTAAATTTGGCGCATTATAGCGCGAAATCATTGTTGCCGTTCGTTCGCGTCTGACGTCACACTTCTCTAGTGCCCACCGTCTCGTCGCGTAGGTGTTCGACAGCGTCTGTGCGTTTAGTCATTACTCTATAGATAATTCATAAGACACACCTGTGTGCTCGGACACGTGGTTTCCAGTTGATAACTATAGAGTATTGATTACTGCGTAAGTTCATACGATTATGGACGCCGCATGTGGAGGTAGGTAGAAAAAATGTTTAATAGGGGTTGTAATTGTTGTGCTCGTACATTTTGGAAGGGTACAGTATTTATAACAACCTATTTTTCTTATTTCGCTCATAACCGACCATATATGCAGTCAACTAATTAACCAAATTGGAGCGGAAGACGTTTAGCCTAACATGTGTCCCGCTGTATGTGTGCCTATGCATGTGTTTAGGAGATTGAGTCGGCTCGGGCCCAGGAATCAGTTGCGGGCGTTGCAACTGGATACTGAAGTGTGACGTCACGCCTAACGTACAGATGGAATAAAAATATTCTCGCGGGGCGCAACTTTGATAGGCTGTAACTTTTTTGTTTTTAGAGATAAATTAATAATTTTTTCACCATCTTGTTTCATTTTCCTAACCTTTCATTTGAGCTAGTAATAAAATGGTAAACTTGTCCATTGTGGTTCAACGCCATTAGAGTAATATAGTAGAGAAAACTTTAAGATGTTTGTTCTAGGAGTAGGCAAATAAAAAGTACATGTACAAGTACATCACGAAAAACATGTCATTTATTTCTGTCAGTCTGTCTGTCTATCTGTCTGTCCGTCCACGAATCCCTCTGTTCATGCAAGTTCAAAAACATACTTCAAGAAGATTTCGTGAAGTCAATCTCGTAAAGATCGGAAAAGGCAACGGTCGTCTTCAATATCTCGACAAAGAATCCTAGTAAAACCGGGTACAATATATACAATACAATCGCTAAGGCAAGTGTGGTGAACCTAAGAAGAAGCTGTGAAGAGAGAGGAGCTCCTCCAGACCAGGCGACAGGAACACCCAGGTTGGTGCCAATCTTGCATCGTCTTTGTATGGCTCGGGTGTCGATTACCTTAATTATATCTGAACGCGCTTACAGTCCCGCGGCTCTCCACAATTTAGAATCATCTTTGCAGAAACACCCTCTATAACTTGGAAAGTACCGTTTGGATTTTGATGAAATTTTCACCCAAGGTTACTTCTACGTCATGGACCAAGGCGCTCTGTAATTTTGGACAATCGGTCCAGTGGAAGCAGTAATATGGACACCGGAACAAAAAACATAAAAAATCGTTATAACTTTGTAGGGGTAAAAATTTGGGGGTCCGCCTGGCATCCCCCTGCAGGTGTTGATAACATCGTTGCGAGGTGGTCGGTACTGTCCACAGGGCGTCTCAATCTCTAGACGGCAACGTTGCTAAATGGATGGAAACTGTGGATTGATTATGTGTTTGACTGATTTGACCCATGTTATTTTTTGTTTCAATGTAATTGACGTCATTTTCAATTCCCGCGCCTGCCGAATTGTAGTGGCGAAAAATATTATATGTTCGTGTGCAGTCATTTCCGTCAGTCTTTTGGTCCGCTAATCCTAAGCCCGTCTATAACTTTTAAAGTACCGCTCAGATTGCTGATGATATCACTAAGGACGAAGCTTTGAAAATCGGTGTAGCGGCGGCAGCGTAAATGGCAAGAAATGAAAAAATAAGACTGACTCAGACTTCGTTCTTTGCGTTTCTGATGATAACTTTCAGAAAAAATTGTAGTGGTTGAAAATCGGGGGTTGTAGGGTTTGGGGAAGGGTATATCTCATTTTTTGACGGTAGTATATTTATACGCTCCAAACCCTGTAATTTTACGCACCTATTACTACATACTTGACTCAACATAGATCTAACCGTTCAGCTACCCCTAAAATTTGAGACAGAAATACCTACAGTCGAGATACGCGGTTGGTCGAGATGTTATGGCAACATTCGTGCACCAGACTGTGTGTGTTTGACTGCATCGCCAGTCATAGTATTGTGGTAGGAACTATGGAGTATGAACAAACTGTATGGGCCTGTTTGGCTGACTTGATTCATTTAATTTTTTCTGATAATTGTTTGTAACTAGCTCAGAGGGACTATCTTGTGTTGAACGTAATCTTTTATGAACTTATGACAGCGTTTGGTAGGAAGTGCAGAGTCAACCTATTTGCATTTTTTTGATTGCTGATTAGGCACGTGCTCAATGTGCATTCTGTGTGAGCGCGAGAATAATGGAGCATAGGGGAGTCCGCCAGGATCGAAAATGGCATATCTTGCACTTTTTAAAATAGAAATCTCGTACATCTCAAAAACTATAAATCTTGAAGAAAAGAGCGTAAGATCCGAAAAACCTGAAACACTCGTACCGATACAAAAAAATTGCAATTGGTTAAAAAAAAGTCTCAAACAATTTTTGACGCATTTTTGGGTTTGTAACATGCATATTCTTTAAGAAAAACGAAATTAGAACATTTTTCGAGCGGATGCCAAGATGCTTCCTGGACTGAGGTTCACATTTTCAGTTATCGATAAACGGCAATCAAACGATAGTACGTGATTGGGAATATATGAGCTGTGGTTATTTGGTCTACCTTGATATTGATACCATCAATCTAGAGTACTATCCAGACACTAGCAGCTGTACGAAAGCAGTCGTTGAAGGCAAAGCATGGGGATGCATGTACATTAAGTCAACGTTTAGTGAAGCCTTATTGGAACGAGTAAAGAGAATCTTTCTGAATAACCTTTTGGAGTCTGTAAAGCATACAACTCTCAGCGAAATTCAAGTATGGCTTGACATGACCAGTAAGTAATCAAACAGATTGAGCTAGTCGCATGGAGAACTTCTAAAGCAGTCGAGAAAAAAATGTTACCTTTCCTATCCGGAATCGATCCTAAACACACCTTTCACAATTCAAAAATGTGCACGCAAAATAAAACCATTACTTGGGCGTAGAGAATAAATAAACGCGTATTTTCAGCATGCATCTTAATTCAAGGCATTGGTGTAACATGTTGGCAACGACAACGTTGCTAGGCAACGCGGTTACGAGCTTCGCTATCCAGCCGGCTTCTATCTCTTTCTAACAGATGTGTCTATACACACCTTTCTCTCATACATATTGAACTCAAGCCATCAGACATTTGGTTATCCGTGTATATTCATCAAATTAATATATTTCGTTTTTTTTTACCCAAATACTGCAAGAAATACTCATTTATTCTATAAATTCAGATATGATTCAAGTAGCCTATTGTATGAATCAACCAACTATTTTCTAAGAGGGACTAAATTGTACCGAATACAATCGTTTATGAATTGATATCCGTGTTGCTTAGGAAGTACAACATTTTCTTGTAGATCATCAGATAGCACTTGTACTACAAAGAGATATACTACAAGGTTTCGACAATTTCACGAAGGATGTTGTTAAGCAATGTCACGTTGACAGTACCCTCTTCAGACCACCAATACGTTTTGAGACTGTATACGGCTCAAATAGACCAGTATTTACTAATTTTGCAGCTCCTGGTGTTATTTTAACGTAAGTGTGGCGGTCTATCTCTCCTTCTTTCTTAGCTACGCTGAAATACTTTTTTGATTTTTCAGAATTGTATTTTTCTTAGCTGTGAGTTTGACCGCTTTGGCTTTGATCATGGAGCGGAATGAAGGACTATTAGGTAGATCTTTCGTGGCAGGTAAGCCTGTCTATCTACACGTTTCTATAATCTTTTCTCTATGTCTGAATATAGATCAGTTTATTATAGGTGTAACTGCAACCGAAATTCTGTTCTCCCACGTGTTTACTCAGTTCATAGTGATGGTGGGCCAAACGCTTCTAGCTCTACTTTTCATGATCGCTGTTTTCAAAGTTGACTGCATTGGGAGTATGGTAGGTGTAATAGTTATGGCACTTCTCCAAGGACTATGTGGAATGTGCTTTGGCTTTGTTATTTCTGCAGTTTGTACTCACGAAAGAAACGCAATCCAAGTGTCGCTTGGTTGTTTCTATCCCACGATTATGCTTAGCGGAAGTTTGTGGCCTTTAGAAGCTATGCCAAAAGTTCTTAGGTGAGAACGATTATACCGGCCGACAAAAGTTAGCCGAGCCTCTTACTCATAAACCAGAGTACAGTGTGAGTCTTCATAAAGTGCACATATCAAAATCAGGGAAACTACACTCTATTTCATCGACGGATAAATCATCAAAAAAACATGAATTTGATTTTTTATGAATATATGAATATTTTAAAATTTTTAGTAGCAGCTTCTAACCATATTGAAATAACTCGTTACAACTTTTAAACTAAATGTCCTATCATATTGGAATACATTTTGTAGTGATTGCTGGTAAAAGGACGTGCCTGAAAAGTGAAGAATTCCAGTAAATTCCAAGTAAAAGTAATGACATGCATTTAGAATAAACAAAATTTTGATGAAAATGTGTTTTTTTTCATCATTTTTACAATAATTTCAAATTTTCTATAAATATCGTCCCTTGTACCCTACCTTTTTTTTATTTGTAAGTTATTCTACATGTTATCAGCTTTATAAAAGTAAAAACTGCACGTTTATTACTCAAATGTAACAGTTTCTATGAGTGTTTATAAAAAAGCCCATGCGCATCGTCTTGCTAGGCACCATTGTTTATCATGTAGATACCTTTTTTTGGTGATTCAATGTAGAGTCGCGTGGGCTGAAGTACGAGTGGGGAGGCGGGCCCAGTTGAAAAACAATTGAATGTTGGGCAGTTAGGCAGATATTTGTGTTTCTCCTGCCAACTTTAACAGTTTCGTTTGCTACATATCACGCTTTCGCTTTTTGGTCGCGATGCCACGTATAAGTGTTTTCCCTCCGGCACACATTGCCGATATCCATTATTATTATGGAATGTACCGAGGGAGTGCTAGAGCTGCTTGCACAGCTTATCTAGCTGCATTTCCAAATCGACGCCCTGTTCCATCAGCCCGTAACTTCCAAGAAGTACATAGAAGACTGGCTAACACTGGACTTGGTTTGCCTCGAGATCGCCGCGAACCAGGTGTTATTATTCATGTTGCTATCGAAGAAGCCATTTTGGATTATTTGTTTGCTGACCCGACTACTAGTACGAGACGTTTGGCGTTACGTCATGGAGTATCCCAGAAATCGGTTTGGCGCAGGGTTGCATCCATACCATTATCAAAGGGTGCAGCACTTGCATGAAGATGTGGATTGGCGTTAAAAGGTGCGTTATGTCTACATGAATTTTAATAAAAACAAGAGTCTATCCTGAATTCCCGAAAACAATTCTGTGGATAGATGAATCTCAATTCACGAGAGACGGCATCGGGAAACTGTCGTAATTTACATAAGTGGTGCCCAAAAGATGAAAACCCTAGGCTGAAAAGGGCTTCAACATTTCAAGTGAAATTTTCTGTAAATGTGTGGGCCGCACTGATTGGCAACTTTTTGATTGGTCCAATAATACTCCCGAGGACATTAAACGGAGAGAGATTTCTGGAGCTTTTGCGGACTGAACTGGCCTTGCTGTTGGAAGAAGTGCCGCTGCAAACCCGTTGAAGAATGATGCTTCAAATGGATGGATGTCCTGCCCATTACTCGCTGATTGTCAGGTCTTTTCTTAATGAAAATTATCCAGGCCGCTGGATCGGTCGACAAGGACCTGTTGGGTGGCCGGCGCGTTCCTCAGATCTCACACCTCTCGACTATTTTCTATGGGGGACAATGAAACAAAGGGTGTACAGCAGTTCCATAAACAGCGAAGCGGAACTTGAAGAAAGAGTTTTGCGTGTTGCAACGAAATCAAAAATGATCCCGAGATGATTCGTAGGGCAACTCATCAAATTTCACTTCGCGCTACAATGTGTTTGCAGCAATGGGGTGGCCATTTTGAACATTTGATGCATTAAGCCAAAATGATTATCCTATAGACAAGTCTATTTGATTTTATTTGTTAAAGATAATGAATGATTCATGTAGGTTAATACTGTTGTTTTATTCCTACTCTGGCGTTGAACTGAGTTCACTGCTCTTTGAAACGCTGATTTAAAAACTTGTATCTAAGTAATAAACTTGCAATTTTTCACCATTAGGAAGCTAATAACATGTAGAATAACTTAACATTTAAAAAAGGTAGGGTAAATAGGACAATTTTTATTGAAATTTAGCAATTGTTTTAAAAATCATTGAAAAAATAGTGATTTTCAGCATATTCCACTTTATTTTAAATTTATAGCATTTAATGTCGTGGAAATTTTCACTTTACTGGTACGGCCTATTATTTGCAATCACTACAAAATTTATTCCAATATGATAGGACATTCAGTTTAAAAGTTGTAACGATTTATTTAAATAGGGTTAGCAGCTGACTCTAAAAATTTTAAAATATTCATAAAAAATCAATTATTGTTTTTAATTTTTTTTTGATAATTTTTCCGTCAATAAAATAAGGTGTAGTTTCCTTGATTTTGCTATGTGCAGTTTATGAAGACTCACACTGTATACTTTCCCGAAGGCTTTTGATGCGGTGAATCGGAATCCAGGGTTCAAATCTCTCAATAGGCTCTAGTTTCCGAGATATCCTGACTTGAATGTGCACAAAAGCAACTTTCGCCTATATTTGTTATGTATGGCTAATTATTTTTCTCTTGGAAAGCCATAGACATTATTTCAAAGTGAAAGCCCTACCTTTTCAAATGCCGTTGAGTTTTTTGTTTCGCTGAGATATAGCGCTTAGAAGTTCTCATTTTTCAGATCTGTATCGGTATAGATTTTATCAGAAGTAATTTTTATTTAAAAAAAAATGTGCAATAAAAAGATAGGACGTTAAATTCGGCCTTGACATGGTAGGATGGGTTGTGGGCTTGTAGTTTGGAATAGGTTATATGGATTTAGTGTTGAAGATTTGTGGGTACCATATCTCAACGAAAACAAATCAATCATACTTTTGAAGGTGCAAGGCTTCTACTTTGAGATGATGTGTATGGTTGTTTGAAGAAAAATTCTCTAAACTACATAATCTCAAATATAAGAAAAAAGCGTTATTTTTGCACATTAAGGTTAGGATATCTCGGAAACTATGGCCAAGCGAGAGATTCGGACAACGGATTTGGATTCAGCGCATCATCTTTCGGGAAGATAATTATTTTTGGGCATAATCATTCTGATTCTAAGGCACAGGTTTTGAGGTATCGTACATAGACATGAACGTACCTTAGACTATGTGCCTTGATTTTTCAAATCATAGTATTATTTAATTAACACGTGGCCTTTTGAATTGCAGATGTATATCGTGGATGCTACCTCTAACACTGGCTACAAGAGCCGTAAGGTCTATAATGTTACGCGGGTGGGGGATAGAGTGGTCTCACGTGTACTGGGGTTACGTAGCAACATGTGCATGGATCGCAATCTTCATGATCGTAGCTATATTGATTGTAAAGTTTAAGAAGGCTTGACTGTTTCCAACGATGTAACATTATTTCATCTAGAATCGTGCTGTCCATAATCACTTTGTAGTTTTATATTCGTAGGGGTTTAAAGATTGTCTCTTGTTTTTTTAAGAATAAAATATAATTAAAAATAGGAAATCCTAAAAAATGTAGTGATATGTGACCACTAACAGACACCAATTTATTGGAGCAGGTTATATAAGGAAGCAAAATCTTACTGGAACACAAGCAGACTTTTGCAAAAAAATATTCCACAGAAACTGATTTTTAGCGTTCTACTCAGAATTGGAGAAGAACCATAGACTCAAAAGAAGTTGTTAGGTAGGTATACTAAGTGACATATAAATCCTAACACCCAGTTCAAATGATTTTATTTTAATAAAAGTTGGTGAATGTATTTATCTTACTATAAATAACAAGTGAAAAAATTTTCAGCCTTATCACTTGGACATTCCGGTTTTTATACTGCTTTTTTTTAATTCACTAACGCTCTAAAAATGAATATTTCAGCCGCAGTAAAGAATCAACGTTGGCGGATTTTGGTTCTTGACATCCTTTACGATCGGTTACGATGCCTAGAGTACGGAGACCTGTACGATTTCGTCAACTTAGTATGTTTGATAGGTGCCGTATAGTGGGATTTCGGGAAGCTGGACTTTCTTTTCGGGCAATTGCAGTTAGAGTGCAAAGAAGTGTAGACACTGTGGTTAGGTGTTGTCAGGCATGGCTTCGAGAAGGCCGTACGCAAAGAGCAAGGGGCACTGGACGCCGCCGTAGAACAACAGACCGTGAAGATCGCCGCCTAAGATTATTGGCCTTAAGGGACCGTTTCTCCACTACCAGGTCCATTGCAAATGAATGGTTTGCAGAACACGGAAGACCTATTGGCATACGAAGTGTTTACCGACGAATGAGAAGTTTTGGCTTGTTTTCATACCGGCCACACTGGGTCCTCCCTTTAACTCGAGAACACCGACGTAATCGCCTTGAGTGGTGCAGACAACGGTCACTCTGGGATCAGGAATGGAACAGTATTGTCTTTAGTGACGAGTCACGATTTTGTTTAGGCATGCACGATGGTCGTGCCAGGGTTAGAAGGCGACGTGGTGAAAGGAGGAATCCATAGTTTTTTGTTGAAAGACATGTTCATCACACTGTTGGAGTTATGGTTTGGGGTGCTATAGCTTATGGTTCCAGGTCACCTTTAATCTTCATCAGAGGTAACATGAACGCGCAGCGTTATATCCACGAAGTTCTAGAACCCCATCTTTTACCCTATCTTGACACCCTGGCAGATCCAACTTTCCAACAAGATAATGCCCGACCACATGTTGCAAGAGTCCCAATAGACTTCTTTCAACATAATGATGTCACATTGTTACCATGGCCACCAAGATCTCCCGACTTATTCCCAATTGAGCACATGTGGGATATGATGGGTAGGAGATTGCTCAATTTGCAACGTCCTCCTCAGACTCTAGAAGCACTTCGAGAGGAGTTGGTGGTTGCCTGGAATGAGATACCACAGGAGGACATTGACCACCTGATCAGAAGCATGCCTAGGCGCGTTGGAGAATGCGTAGCACATCAGGGTGCATCCACACATTATTAAAGGTCAAAGGCCTTTAAAGCAGTGCAATCATTTTGAAATTTTTATCATTTACTTATTATGCTTCATTAAGTACTTATACAAAATTTTATTAAAATAAAACCATTTAAACTGGGTGTTCGGATTTATATGTCACATAGTACATTTTTGGATTTGAAGAGGGCATTTGAAACAATTGATAGGGATATTATGTTTAAGGCATATGGCATACCTGGAAGTGCTTTAGACTGGTTTAAAAATTATTTTTCGAAAAAGATGCAAATTACAAAGGTTAATAGCATTATTTCATTAAAAAATGAAAATATATTAAATTACATAGAAAATGCAACACCGACTAGAAGGGGTGTTATTTTGAGCACACTTTTACCAGTTTTAGGTCTACTGAAAAATAGAAAGTGATTCAAATTTTAACTCGAAGTTTCGCAAAGCTCCTCTGATCGCTAATCATTCGTTAAGTCGTTGCGGCATTGATTGGATTAGGTGATTGATGTCTTCTTCGTGTATATTGTATCCCACGCCATTTGAATTTGGTTTCGTAGAGCCTCCAATGTTTGTGGAGGGTGCGGTGAATTTTGCAACTTTATTCCCATCGTGTCCCATACATGTTCAATATGGGAAAGGTCTGAAGATCGGGGAGGCCAATGAAGCAGATTTACTCCCGACGCTTGTAAAAAGTCTAAAATGTCCTCATTGCTGTTGCCCTTCCGACAACATCGAACCACTGGTTCGCAACTGCGAAAACCGATCTCTGAGTGCTAGTTGCCTCAAATCAAGAACTTGTCGGCCTGTAGCTTGTCTTTGACATCCAGTACCTCTAACTTGTCAATTTCGGGCTTCTTGAAACCACTCTCGACAACATCTAATTACAGTAGCTTCGTTTCGATTCACCCGATTAGCGAATTCTTTAAAAGAAGATCCGGCTTCACGTAACCCGATCATTTGATCCCTCTCAAACTGGAAAAGTTGAGTAACATTAGCGAGACTGCAAACTCTAGGCATGATAATGCAATGAAACAACAATGAAATAAACGGAATCAAACAAAAATCGCTGAATATTAAGTAAACATATTGTTCGGATCCTGATACAACAATGATGCCTTTACAAAAACAGTACGGCTAGGAATACCTTCAACATTTTATTAGCGTATAATTCTGGGTGTTGCATTTTATGTCACTTATTATACATTATGCGTATTGCAAGGTATTATTCTCGGACTACTTCTTTTAATCTTACTTTCGGAGTGTCCGCAAAGTTGGGACTTTTCTTTCACTCGGCGTATAGATCTTAAAAACGGATAATTAAGATACTGAGATATTAGGCTCCGAAGAATCGATCAAACATAATCGCTCTTGTATCTCTATCAGATCAAAGGTGAAAAGGCACGACGTGCGTCAGTACTCAACCCAGACGCCGCCAGCGTAGAACAGAACGTTAATTTACCAAACGATCCTAAAAAAAAAAAAGAAATCAATAAAACAGCACACTCACAATATCGAGAACTTATCGACAAGATGCAAGGTGGTAAACGCTGCGTGATGATGGATTGTATCCTTTTGTACAAACCCTCCAAGCTGAGGATTTTCCTGCAAGAGTACGTTTTTGTGAGTGGTTGATGCAGTTTGTATTGGTCACAGACGAATCATTCTCCACTCGTAACGGGGTGAATAACTTCCGAAATACTCATGTGTTGTCACTGGAAAATACTAACGTAGTCCGTCGGTCACATTTTCAACAAATATCGGAGGAGATACCAGTTAAACTAGGGGTACCACAGGGTTCCATTCTGGGACCATTATTGTTCTCAGTTTACATTTCTGACTTCCACGAGTACGTTGAACACTGCAGTATTCATCACTATGCTGACGACACTCAATTGTACTTTGGCTTCGATATTGAAGATTTAAAAAATGCCGAACATTTGATTAATAATGATTTAATAAATTTATCTAACGTATCTTGTGCCCATAATCTGAAAATTAACCCGTTAAAATCATCCGCAGTTATATTTGGACCAAAAATCAAAAAAAGTCAGGCAAAACCATTACTATCATTGCGCATTTTAGATCAACCGATCCCTATAAAAAATGAGTGCAAGAATTTAGGACTCTGGATTGATTCTGATTTGAGGTTTGAAAAACACGTTAGTCAACTATGCCGAACATCATTCGGTGTCTTGAAGCAATTATTTCCTCATAGGAAAAGTATGAATACTGGTCTCAAGCTGAAGTTGTGCGAAACCTTAATATGGTCTAGAATTCACTACTGTGACTGTATTTATGGGCCTGCACTAAGATCGATTGAGTTAAGGAGACTTCAGACTATTCAAAATGCGTATTTCAGATTTGCTTGTGGAGTGAGAAAATTTGAGACAGTGTCACATAAATATCGTGAGCTGGGTGTTCAAGAAATAGCAGAGCTACAAAAAATGCATGTATTGACCTTGACCCATAAGGTAATCACAACACAAGCCCCTTCATATCTATCAACCAAATTTATCAGATACTCAGATGTTAATCAACTGAACACAAAGAATAAGCATATTTTGGTTATCCCGAGACATTCAACATCTCTATTTAAAAGGTAGTATCAAGCTATACAACGCGTTGCCTACCGAGTTCACTCACTACTCTATAAAGAATTTCAAAAAAAGATTGAAGAATTTTATCTCTGATTCCATTGCCCAGTAAGTAGACCATGGCCATGAATAAGGACTCGTTACAGGTTTTTTTTTTAACTCTTGTTTTCATTGGGATTAGAAAATATACATCAATATTTGTTGGGTTAAGTTGAAAAACGCTTTTTAGCGACACTTCGCCTTTTTATACTTTGTATAAATAAAGCCGGATTATTATTATTATTATCTTCTTTGAACATTTGGGCTGACATGGTCAATGGCATACTCATTGGGTAGATTATTTTCCTCAATCGGCTGGGCGGTTCACAATACCCATACTTCTACTAAACATTTTCCCAACGGAAACAACTTAACAGTACTTATAACCAGAGCGGTACTTGAAATTTTTCTGCAAATGAACGGTGAGTGCTTTGTCATTTACTTATCTTTTACTTTTTCACCACACATTGACTCTGTTATTTGCGTATAGTTGCTTCTGAAAAGGAAAATCCCAAGCTTCAGGTCACCATAAACGATTTACCTACCAGAGTCAAAAAATGCAAAATTCAAATTTTAGCCAATAATACTTTGATTTATATAAATAGAGAGTCTGGTATCTCTTATATTAGAGAAGACACTTGTTTCAAAATTGCAAGTTAAACGAAATATATGTTAATTGGAAGAAACCAATCTACAAATGTTCATCTTAATATTGCTGATGGAGATTCGTAGGAGACTTTAAATACATTTGGGTTTTTGTTGACCCTCAATTAAATTTTGATATTCATTATGAGAAAATTATAAACAAGATTAGTAGTAAAGTGAGGTATTTGTCAAGAGCTTTTTGATGTCGAGTTCATGTAGTAGTAAAACTACCTATAATACTATCATTTGTCAAAGTTCCTTGTACAGTTT